CCTTGTATTATAACTATCTTACGAGTCGGGCAGGTAACTTTGTTACTGCATTAATGATGATGACAATACTTTTATTTAGTTTCTCTTTTTCTCTTTCACACGCACAGCAACTAAAAATTTTCATATAGAATTTCTATTAATGTAAGAACAATATAAAGATAGAAAAATTCTAACAGATACACACAGAAAAAAGGAGAAAATATAAATGTTTTCATAATATTGATTAAAAAAAAAATAGATGAAGATTTATCAATTCTTAATATATTATATATTTACAGGCAAGATTAATTATGATTAATAAAATGTCTAGAATATAATTGCACTTATATAATGCGCTATCATTATATTACACAAATTATGGATAGATTAAGTAACGATAAGCGATGAATACATAATATCGTCGAGGCGGAGATGCATTATCACCAGCCATGCGATTTATAGTGCGCATGTATGGTAACCGGCACCGGATACGGTTTCGACACGTGTACCGGTACAGCCACGTGTACCGGATAAGGCCGATCCACGTGCACGATCTTCTCGAAGGTGACGGGATATGGTTTAGGCACCGGTACCGGGACATGTATCGGCCGATCCACCGGAACATGCACCGGTTTCTCAACCGGCACCGCGACCGGCCGATCCACGTGAACGACCTTCTCTACAGTGACAGGATACGGTTTAGGAACCGGCACTGCCACGTGAACGATCTTCTCCACGGCTACGGGAACCGGTATGTGTTTGGTGACTGGCACCGCTATAAGCACCGCGATCGGTTGCGGTACCGGTTGCGATATCGGTTGCGGAAAAGGTACTGGTACTGCCGCTGGAAGAAAATAGAAATGTTAATTAATACGTAAATCATTATAATTAAAATGTCATTCATTTAAATTCCACTTATATAATAAATTAATGGAATTTATTTACTTGTGTTTTTAATTAATTACTCAAATTCTATTAATAAAATTAATAAAATTTGAATAGATTAAAAAACAGGTAAATAAAATTAAAGCTTTCCTCTTCATCGCATATAAATTTTTCGGTAGTAGACAAACGTTTTATTATAAACTATGTTTTAACTGTTGCATAATTTTATATTAAAATGTTTGCATTTTTGAAACATTTAACAGATATAAATATTTAACAGATATAATTTAATAGATATAGATATAAATTCATTAACCTATTGGATATCCAATAGCTATGGCTGGCTGTTCCGGTACGTGTCCCGGTATCGGATGCGCGAGATCTGGCGCTGGAACTTCATAAACTGGAGGTGCTGGAGCTGCTAGAGCCGATGAAATCGATGGCGGACCGTACAGCTGTTCCTGCTGCTCCTGCTGAAACTGTATCCCTGCAAACCGTCCAACTCTCTTTTTTGATATTTCTTCTCCTCAATAGTTCTCTTCCGTTGATCTGAATTTCTCCCAGCGATAACTGCTATACCGCTAGCTAACATTAGCGACATCATCTATGAAAACGTGATAAAGAGACATTAAATAATGAATTCATGCTTTGCAGAATTTTTTCTTCCCAACAATTACTTTTTAATTTTAAATAAATATGTTATTTATGTTGTCTGCACTCTTATGAGATAATAAAGGAAACGTTTTATAGCGTAAGCTTTTACCGTTTTCCTCCTCTTTCTCTTTCAAACACATGTCATAAACTTTAATTTACCTTCGTCTCTGCTTACTATCTTTACATATGCATATTAGCACTTTTCTTCTTATTTAAATGTTTGAAAACACTTCCTGGTTGGAAATACTTTCAGCAAGATGTGTTGATTTACGTTAGTTATATTTTCTTGTTCCACATCATTATAAATAAAATCGTAAATATTATATAGATAAAGATAATAAGCCCTAGAATTAACTTAGAATTAATTAATACAGAGAGATTATCAATGCGATTGAAACTTAATTATTGTATGAAAGTTTTTACAATGTTATCACAACTCTTGTCGCATAATTAATTCGCGTAATTCGCTCGTAAAAATTTCCCGAGAGTTTTCTTTTCACTGTACATACACGGAAGTACGTCTTTATATTACTTGTATATCAATAAATGCACTTAAATTATAATCAATAACAAAATAATTTTTAACATAATTTATAGATACATTTTGAACATGATTAATAGATCTGTTAAATGATATAAATATGTGTATGTGAAAATGATTTTATAATTTTATTCTATTCTAATTTTTTATATAATTATTTTATAATAATTGCAGCTGAAGAACGCTACTGCAGTCTTCATCATGAACCTCTCGATATCAGATTTGATGTTCTGCTGCTTCAATCTGCCGCTTGCAACCCACATTCTGGCACAGTTCGTGGTTATATGGACCACTTCTCTGTCGGTTGTTTCCGCTCTTGAGATACGGCCTCGTTGCAGTCAGCCTCTTCAGCGTTCTCGCCATCACGATCAATCGCTACATCATGATCGGTCATCCCGGTCTTTACCCTTTGTAAGTAACCCCTTTCCTCTCCTGTTGCTCTAGATAAAATTAAATTTTTTATAATTATTTTAGATATTTATTTGAAACACTACATTTAAATTATTATTGCATAAAAATTGATAAATAAATAGAATTAAAGAATATATTACCAAATTTTTCATTCTTTTTTGGTCAAATATTATTTTTAGATTATATAAAACGAAATATTTAATACCGATGGTTTTGATGATATGAATCGTCGCTTTCGTCTGCTGATTGTCACGTGGTTCGAGCAATTCGGACGTTTTGGTTTGAATCCTATCGGATCTTGCTCCTGCCGGATGTAAACGGACGGAGTCCGAAGGAATTTCTCTTCTTTCTTGCATTTTTAATACCCTGCTTCGCTATTATCATTTGTTACGCCAGGATATCTTATATTGTTCGCGAAACTGCCTCAAAAAGCAGAGGCAGAGACAAGATCAATGTGGAACCTATGGAAACCAGTCATGATGTAAGATCTAATTATTTATGTGAGAAGATTTAATGTTAACATAAAAAATTAATTATATATGTATTCAGAAATTTTTTAAGTAATTGATTATTAATGAAATATTAATCGAAACATATATCCCTCTCTATTGAATTTAAAACTAAATAAATTTAGATTTATTCTTTGATTGTCCCCTCTCTTTTGTTCTAAAAATTACTTACTTATTTAATTTATTAAATAAGTAATTATTTATTATTAATTTATTAAAATATAGTTTGGTACTTTATAAATCACACACTGAAGCTTAAATTCTGTTTTTGATCATAATCATTATTTTGCAGCAACAATCTATATCCATGAAGAATCAAGAGCAAGAATTATTTGTTTTTGATCCTATCTTATCAATGCGATCAAATTTTCTCACTCCAGACAAGGAAATGGAGCCATCGACTCTCATTAACGAAGATTCATCATGTTCGAAGCAGTCGATCCACGATCAACAAAAAACAGATTGCACACAAAAACATGTAGACAATCCAACGACGGTAATCAGTCTTGATCCAAACTCTAACAACGACTATAATGCTCTTCACGTTAGTGCATCGGAAGACATATCGTTCGTGGACGATCGCGAAGAATCAAATTTCATGGAGATGAAACTGTTTCTGAATAAAAATCAGAACGAATTGCAGCGAAAATCGCCGAGAAACTCTTGCGGGCGATTGGAGAGATTGACCAGCCGAGCGTCCTTCATGGTAGAGTCTTCGCTGCAGCGATTCGCCGGTGGCGATCCTTCGGATCTGCCAGAAATCCTCGTGGATTCGAGATCGCACTCGCCCGTGAAGAAGACATTTCGCAGGGAATCAAAGTTCAAAAGCGTTGGCAGGATGCGCAACGGTGAATTCGTTTTCGCACCTAGGATGTCCGCCAAGGATCGGAAGCTGTTGCAGATGATTCTCGTGATATTCGCGTCATTCCTGATATGTTACCTGCCGATCACCATCACAAAGCTATTTCATAGCGCAATCGCTTGGCGAGGCCTCAACATTGCCAGTTATATACTCATCTACTTGACGACCTGCATCAATCCCGTCATCTACGTCGTGATGAGTTCTGAGTACAGAAGCGCGTATAAATATGTGTTGCTGTGTAAGGGTGAGCAGAAGACGAGTAAAAGGAGATTGCCGAGTTTGCTGATGCTCAGTTGAACTCGTAAATGATTAATTACATATATAATATGCTAAATATAATAGATAAATGATATAATATAAATATAATAGGTATATGATTTAGTCTGTTATATTATCTATATTTATGTGATCAATGATTAAGAAATCTTAAATTGTTGGCGCTGATATATAATTTATATCTGTCGTATTATCTATATGATCACAATGATTGAGGAACTTTAGATTGTTGGCGCTCAACATTGTGTTTTATAATTATGAAGTAATACCATCTTAGAGGCTAACTAATCGCTCTTTAGTTAAAATTATCAACTTATTATTAAAACGATTAACGTAGATTTCTAAACATAATTCTAAAGATTTCTAATTTTAAAGATTTCTAACATAATTAAATCAATAAAAATAACTTTATTGATTTTAATATATAAATTACATACAATTTATTGATTGATAGCGTCTCTCTTCTCGCAATTTTTATTCGCTTTACATATGGTTATAAGATTGTCATTAATATTATTTCGATATTATCGAATATACTAACTAAAAAATATAATTAAATTCTAAATTTAAATGATCTTTTTACATTAAAGATGTTTATAATTTTTTGTATAATTCTTGTCAACAGTACTTAGCCTTATGATTTTTGCAGATCTTTGCTGAATAGTATTAAATCACTGTTAAGAAAAAATTATAAATTGCGAAAAATTTTAAAAAAATTTTAACATTATATATTTCTCAATATGTTAAATAATTAATATTTTTCTTGAGCAAGAACCGCGAAGCATAAATTAAGAATTGTTAATTTATATTATACATACAAGTGCATCATTGAAATATTTATAGATATTTAATATTTTTACAACGAGGTAGTTAAATAATTAATTTTAAATATGTTACATATAAGAAATAAACCTTATCTATACGATCCTTATTCACTTAAGTTCAATTTTCTTTAAAAACTTTATTATTTATCTATCATTTAATAGATGGTTAAGCAATTAGTTTTAGAATAATATATGCTTTTCCAACCTTCCTAATCACATCATCAAAATATTACATCTAACGTTGCAATATTCAATCCTCTTATTATTTTAATGGAGATTAAATTCTCTATTTCTCCCTATATCAGCTCTAATGACTTTTTATCGATCGTCTTTTAAGAAAGCCTATTCATTTATACCTCTTATTATATATTTTAAAAATAATTCTAATTAAAAAAATATTTAGAGCTGTGAAGGGATTTCTTTCTCGATGTTAAAATTGATATTAGCCTTTCGTTAATAGTGTTCAATTTTTGTCAAGATTGGCAGGCACCGTCGCCGCCTGTATCGTACTGATATTCATGGTATTCCAACTTTTTTCTGTATTGCCGCTTTTCGGTGTGACCTTCGTGATATCTAACTTGCCACTATTTTCTTTGCGATTCTTGTAATACAACCCACCGGCTGCAATGCACATGCCTATCCCGCCAAATACCATCACGTATTTCAGAAAACTGCAAATCAAAATTTCAAATTAATGTTTGATTTATTTTATTTTATTGGTAAATTTGAAAAAAATTAAAGAAAATTTCTCTTTAATTTTCTTCAAATTTACCAATAAAATAAAATATATATTTGCAATTATGTTGCTAACAAAATTGATTAGATTATATAACTAAGCAAAAGTACTAGTTATCCATCAAAATATAATTATTCGAGAAATATTGTCGTAGGCTCACTTGACAACTGCTGTCGCCTTGAATACCACCTTGACCTTATTAACAAATTCGTCATCGAGTAATATTCCTTCTTCCACCCAAAATAGCGGCAACAATGCCTCTGGGAAATTTTTCATCAATTTGAACTTCGGAATCGGTTGTACGAACATGTTGAACTGCAATCGCTTATGCGCGCGTATCGGCGTAGCTGTCATCGGTTCGAAATCCATATCCATTTCATGATCCTCCTATCAATGAAAATAATTTAATCACAGTGATTATATATTTCTCATCATATTTATTTATGTAATGTTTCTTTCAATGATATATATCATATTTGTATTTTCTTCTTATATTTATTTATGATCGATATCTATATATTTTTAACTTTTGTCGAGTGTACCTGAGTCGGATGCAAACCATCCACCAAATCCAACCAATTTGGCTCGGAATCGTAAAAGTGTGGAAGCGATCCAATGATAGGTGCACCTATACACTTCGACAAATCATAGAGATTTCTCGTTAGACAAGTATCCGGTGTCGGGCAGAAACATTTTTCTTCAGGATTCTTGCTCATATCTCCGAGGTCCGCCGTATAATGAAGAGTATTGAGACCTGCAAATTCGAAAATGCTATGAGAAAAAATTCAATGATGATAAGAACGTGTTTTATGTTATTTTGCTAATACTTTTTCTACCTTTCAAGGGAAACTATAATAATATATAATAATAGTTACATTATAAACTTTATTTAAAAGACAATAAAATTATTTTTATTGCGATATTATATTCATTATGTTATTATTATAGTAATTTTATGTCTCAAAAGCTGTAAATTCAATTCTAACTTTAATGGGACATAGTGGGATTTTTAATTTGTATTTAATATAATTATATTTGTTAGATAAGATAACTATTTTTTCTTCTTACTTGATCGTTTCATATGATTTATATACCTTTGATTCTGCTATGATAACGATAATGCGCGCTGACAGATCGACAGATTTCGTAACCGAATGAGACAATGTCGTCGTCTGGCCCGAATAGAGGTGGGAAGATCGTTGAATCGGTACCGTTGTATTGATTACAATGATCTTCCGGCCAAATATCCAACGCAGGCTTACCATCCCATTCCAAGACACGACCGACGTCTTTGTAATTTTTAATACCACGCAAAACTTTCATACGTTGCGGTAGGACGCTCCCGTTTTTCTAATAAAATTATTCATCAATACAATTATCATCAATACAACACGCGGGAAATGTTTATGACTTTTTCGTATTTTTCACATATGCATTTTTCGTAATCATAATGTCTAATTACAATCTTACTTTTATTCACAATTAGAGTTGCGATCAAATAATAACAGATTATTATCCTGCGTGACTCGTTTCTTTTTCATAATATACTATTAAACTTATAATTAATATTACTCATTAATATTTCACCGAGAAATCAGAAAAGTTAAAACAGTAACCGATAATAATAAAAAATATGTTACATGTCTGTGTGTGTCCACGCATATAAATATTTATGCATGTAAAAATATATCTATAAAAAATATATCCGGATATATAAAAATATATCCGGATATAAAAAAATAAATAAATAATTTAAATCGATGAAGAATACGTGAGAAATATTAATTAACTTTATTAAAAATAATTGTGACAGTGAAAAATAAATAATCTTGAAAAGATAATCATAGATAATCATAAAATAAATCTTTGCTTAAAAAAAGGTCTTTGAATATAATTAAAATTTTAAATACAGTTGTATAGTTTCTATAACAAATAATCAAAGAGATATAATTTTTTAAAATTATAATTTTTTTAGAAATTATAGAATTATAATTTTTTTAGAATTAAAATTATACCTACCCCACCGAAGAGAGAGAACTTGTATCGATTTTCCCCGTCCGGCACAAGATCCTTCGCTTCCGTCTTCAGCACATTGCATGCTGCCGATCCAGCGAAGTCCGACACTGTGCAGTCGACTGGCAGACCATCGAAAAGTATGTCCTTGGCTTTGGCTTTTACGAATATTGAGTCTGGTTTGTGGAAGATACTGTCGACCGCTTTGCCTATGTTATTCAACATAACATAAATTATCTTAATATCGCTAGTCAATTAATCAAAGGATCGTTGGAAATAATATAATCGACCAAAACTAGCCAGAAATTTTTTGTTTATTGATTACGATGTTTCGACCATATAGTTGTGGTCAATTTCAAGTAAATAAGATCAAATGACAGATATAAATCATAGTGTTGTAAAATGCACAAGTCACGTTTGCACGATCATTACATCTTAATAAATTTAAAATCGAAACGAAAATAAAAACGATGTGTCGGTGTGAGACTTCGTCAACGAACGTTCTTGACGAAGTCTCACACCGACCACAACCATATGGTCGAAACGTTGTAATCAATAAACAAAAAATTTCTGACTAGTTTTGGTCGATTATATTATTTCCATCCTTTTATTCAACATATTAATAAATATTCTTAATTTAATTTATAATAGAATTGGATCATCGAATAATCGTGTAGAAAATTCTTTTCTCGCACTTTATTCCTTTTTATTTTTATTAAAATAAAATTTAATTGTCACACGACAAAATATATGTACATGTAATGCGAATATAACAGCAAAAAATAGAAATATATATAAAAATCTCATAAGCACACTCTTTATATTGACAAAGGTACATATACATTAGAGAAACATATCTCTCTTCTTGGCAGAATAGCTGAAGAATAAAGATACTACTACTATATTAGAGAAACATATCTTTCTCATGTTCCACTTTAAATCTTCCAGCATGCATTGTTATAGTCCGAGCCGACCGACCTATGCGATACATGACTGATACATGACCGCAATCGATACACGACATTGAAAGGAAATAATGACATTGTATATACGTACCAATAATTGGCATTGCAGCAGGCTTCTCCTTCAGGGTCATCAACGCCATGCTCAGAATCATTAGATGAGGAACCACCATGTCCTCGTTGCCCGTCAATCCGTGGCTTTTCTTGGGATTGAAAAACCATGTAGCTTTTATGCTATATTCGACGCTATCCTCATCCTCTCGATCGATGAGATCTATTTTCACCTTGTACTCACTAAAATGAACATCCGAGTTTTCGAACATTTTGAATAATAAATAGATTTATATAAAGATCTCAAAAAAGATTCGATTATTGCGGATTAGATTAAAATTTAGATCACTATAAGGTTGAAAATATATAAAAAAGAAATCGAAGAAAAGAGAGTATAGAATTTGTTAATTTTTAATAAAGATAAATTAAAGATAAATTAAATGACAAATTAATTTTTGCGAATTTTTGTATCCGTAATTGATTATAAATTTTTTAATATTATGTTTATACTTAAACTCACTCATAAAAGAATGGTCCGACTTCTTGTAGTTTTGGCTTTTGACCCTGTACAACCTCATCAGGGTTAGTCACGTTGAACAAATAGATTTTAAAATCCAATGGCAACGGAAAATTCGACCACATGTCGCGTATTTCACTGCCTGGTTTCAACATGATAGCCTACAAACATTAAATTTCGTTAGTTTCATAAAATCACATAGAAATGAACATAAAATAATGAAACGATGCTCTCATAGTTATAATAATTAAAAAATTTCGTAATCTTATAATACATAATTTCTATATTTCTTTTAATATGTATGTACGGATTTAAAACAATTTTACTGAAACTACTCAACTATTCGCAATTCGGTGACTAATATATAGATTTAGTATGAAATTTAACAATCATTAAATTTGAAATATTATAATCAAAAACAGATCTCTACAAAAATTGCGTAAATTATGGTTTTGACATAACATATATACACACAGATACAAATATTTATGTTTATTAAATTTATACTGTGCAAATTAAGTAAATGTATGTATTTGTTAGTTATGATAGTCCTCCGATCATCTTTAAAAATGTTTTCTTATAAGTTCAAGAAAAGAAATCGCCATAATTTTAATGTCATTAGATCAAAAACTGGAATATATATAATGAGATACTAAAACATTATGCTAGAACATTATAGCGATTGACAGTAAGGTTCAAGGATTTCGTGCTGTACACTTTCGTAGAATGACTTTATCATTTCACAATATTCAGTAAAACTGTGCGTTGGATCAGACGCGTATAAAGAATTTTTCTAAGCAAATCAAGTATTTGAATGCGATAAAAAGAAAAAGAAGAAAAATTGGTTATTAAATTTGTAAAAATTACATAATATATCATATTTAAATATTTCAAAACTAGAGAATGAAAGATTATTTTTAAAATACGTCGACATATATAATAAAATATATATTTTTAAAATAATGATTGAAAAATATATAATATATGAAAGCAAAATATATAATATGTGAAAGCAAAATATATAATGAATGAATAATCTTTCGTGATATGTAATCTGTAAAAATTTAATTTTATAAAAGAAAATGTTACAGCTTGCAAAAACACATATCTTCCGATATATTCCATTAATTACACGAGTCACGCGAAAATAAGATTGTTGAATAAATAAAATTTTGAGACTTTTGAACTTTTCTATGATAAAAATACTTCAAAGCGCTATAAAATGTTTTATTATCGTAACGATATACACTGTTTAATAATGAAAAATCATGGATAAATAAATCGTTGTATAAGTATTATTATCATTATCATTACGCTTAATGAGCTAATTATACAAGTATCATTATCATTACGCTTAATGAGCTAATAGAACTAATAGAATGATATTAGTAAATTAATTGTTATATGATGTAGTAAATTTGTAAATTGTTACCTTCTTGATTTGAGACCTAATTAGTGAAGGAAATCCACACCACGTTACAATGCCGAAGAAAAACATACATCCACCGCCGATTCCGAGTTTCTTTATAGACACCATTTTAGCGCTCTGTGAATATGGAAATATCGAATAACATTTAAGCAGAAATGCACGATCGAATCTAAATAGATATTTTAAACGAATAAGCAATTTAAATAATCTCGAGTTACTCAAAATCAAAACTATACATTAAGTTTCCGTTGCTATACCAATCTAAAATAATTGTCAAAAGTTTGATTTCAATTTGAGAAACAATCGCATTCATAATTTAACTTTCTATGAATATATCATTTTTGCGGAGTCACGAGAGTCACTGCTAGGACATTAAAACAACATTAATACAATGGAAACCTTATTATTATTATTAAATCCTTCAAGAACACAGAGCACATTGCCCAAGACTTTGCCGTAACATGGGAACACATATAGCAAGTGAAAACGCCTCATAAAATCGTATATCCTCCGAAGGGTACGAACGGTAACATCATACACACGTTTCTTGGAAACCATGAATCTCTAATTTTATATGCTCTTGTCGATTTCACGTCAATTTTAATCTAAAAATGGCACCTTTTTCTCACTGCATTGATAAAAGAAAAATTTAAGATAACGCCTCGTATAATTGTTAAAACTGATCTTTTTAGGAAAAAGTCTATCTATATATTTGTATAAAATCAAATGAAATATATATTAAAATATATAAATAAATTATCGTTAATTATATTACCGTTAATTAAATTTAATGATAATATATATATTATTAAATATAATATTATTATTATAAAATTATTAAATAAAAATATAAATATAATAATAATAATAATATAATCAAATAAAAAATATGACCAAATTTAGTTAAAAATAAAATTGAATATTATAGAAAAAAGAGAATTAAATATAAAACACGAAAGAGAGAAAGATTATTACGAGAGTTAAGCTTTCATTCATGTAGGAAAATATCAAGTTAAAATCCGTAAAAGTGGTACTAACAGATATAAATCAAAGAATAATTTTTTAATCTGATTCTTTGAGAATTTAAATATGATTATGATAAAAAGAAATGCTTGTAAAAAATTCGTTCTATGATTTGAATCGTCTTCATCTTTTTCGTTGCATCTATTTGTATGTTCGTAATCCAAACAAATAAATTAAGCACATAATTTTCTTCCTTCAAAGTCGATATCCGCATTCATCGTATATATTAGATATTTAATATCATCATCGGTATTCAGCTTCAATACATTTATTTTATTTCTCTCACAATCTTTTTCGCCAATTTTTCGTAAAAAAATCCTTTCGCGTAATTTATTTCTCTCTCGTGGTTTGATCCATAAAAAGATACAGCATATATGCAAAAATTAAAATTCCGATTGTTTAGATCCTTATTCACTTCTTTCGTCGCGTAAACGAATTCACGGATTACTCTCGTTCGTTCATTTGCGTTTAAAAAAAAATCTCGTGGTGAATATTTATTGCCAGAATCGCGTAAAGAAACGAGTTCACGAGTCGCGATGCGAGATGCGAAAGCCTCGACCTTCCTCCCCGTGTGTCTTCGCACTGTCTTCACACCTGTTCGGCCTCCTGGCCGATTTCTTCGCCACCCTTGTCGTCGACGTCGCCGTTGATCGTGCGCGGCTCGTCGCGAACAAACTGCCCAGGCGATAATGACGCCGACGTCTTACACTAGACCGGCGTCGGCGTACTCCTGCTTGCTCGTCCCCATTGCAAACTTCTTGGCTTCAATTACTTAAACGTTGCGGCATCTCGAGCACAGCGGGATACAACTTTGTTCTACTCGGGCGTGATGCGATCGAAGGCATAGAATTTACTTGCTGACTCGCAAAGTCGTGCGTGATTCAGTCACGCTAGAGACTCTCCAATGAAAGTCACGAAATGACATTCAAACTAAACTGATGCAAACAGCTATATGATGACTGTCAATTCTCTCTCTCTCTAGGCAACTTATTTAGGGAAAAAGACAGAGTAGTGCATCATATTCTAAGAAACAAATAAAAAATTAATCTCGAAAAAATATATTTATAATTTATAATTTATAAAAAATATATCCTAAGAAACAAATAAAAAATTAATCTCGGAAAAATATACATTGGATTTATTTTAATTTTCATATTTTTATAATGTAATTTGATTCTTCACTTTATCTCTTTCCAAAATTTTGTACAGAAAGATATTAAGATCTAAAATTTATCTTAAAGCAGACTGCTATTTATCGAAATAATTGATATCATTCTATTTGATCGAAATAGAATGATATAATTATTAAAAAAATTAATTAAACAGAATTAATTAGAAAGAAAGAATGCATTATTTCATAATTTTCATTCGAGGATTTTTAATTGTATAAGTTATCTTGTATAATTCTTGCTAGAGGCTATAAGCAGAAGACCTAAAATAGTCTTGAGATTATGTCAATATTATAAATAATTGCAATTATTAAAATTTCTTATTTTTATTCAATTTTTTTAAAATATATAACTCTTTGGTAAATACGTGTTATTTAAAAATATATATAATTTGCGATAACATGTCATTTTAATAATAGTCATGTTATAAGTGCGATCTATGTATAGATACGATTCTAGTAGAATCTAATGGCTTAAAAATATAATTTGCATTTAATATTAACGTTAATTATATTTCTCGATCGATTAAAATGTTACATTCTTTATGGAATCCATATGGGCATATTCCGAAATTACTGTAATTATAACTATTGACAACTACCCAGGTAACAGAATGACATCAAAAATCTTAATAACGTTTTAATGATGTCATTGTACGTCATTAAGACGTCTGAAGACATCATCCTGCTACCTGGGTACTTATTAGTTACTGGATCTAATTACAATCGTATATCTGCTGATAAATTATAAACCTCAATAATTTAGTACTATTTATCTAAGTTTTCTATCTACAAATAATTAATCAGTCGAGAAATAATCAATAATTAAAATATAATCGTATTAAAATATGTTTAATCATATAATAAATATACGTTTAATCGTATTAAAATACGATTAAAGTATTGTTCTAACTTCTAATATATTATTAATTATTTATTATATATATATATATATATATATATATATATAATATTATTAAATTAGAAATAATATTTCAAAAAAGAAAATTTAGAGAAATAATCTAACATCTAGTATATATGTAAAATTATTCTAACGTCTAAAATATCATTGTTATAATAATAATATTTCAAGAAAAAGAATTTAGAAAAATAATTATTATATTAATATTAATATAGTAATATAATTATTGTATTAATTTAAAAAATTATTATATTGTATTTATATAATATACAGGGTCTACCAAAAGTGTGGAAACCCCTAAATATCTCGGAAAATATACGTTTTACAGAAAAGTGTTTCCAACAAAAGTTGTAGGGTTTAAGAAGATCTATATACTGATTCTATCAGTTTGACCTTGGATGGCGTCGTCAAGGTCAGGTCAAGGTCACATTGACTTTTTTAAATGACACCCCCTACATTTGATTGCATATTCTTATAGCTTAATTCAAGAGCTTTCCAAAACACTATAATAATGTTCATTTTTATTAAGTACTTTGCGAGTTATGAGGGTTGAAATAATTTCTTAATTTTACATAAACCATAAAATATCTAGTAAACCATTCATTTTTCGATTATCTTACCTTCATATTTTTATGTACAAAATAATGAAAGGAATCAATTGGTGTAAAGAAAACATACAGTTGTTTTTAAGAAAAAATATGGAATTGTTAATTGCAAATTACATATTTTTTCTTAGAAACAACTATGTGTTTTCTTTACACCAATTGATTCCTCTCATTAATTTGTACATAAAAGTATGAAGGTAAGATAATCGAAAAATGAATGGTTTACTAGATATTTTATGGTTTATGTAAAATTAAGAAATTATTTCAACCCTCATAACTCGCAAAGTACTTAATAAAAATGAACATTATTATAGTGTTTTGGAAAGCTCTTGAATTAAGCTATAAGAATATGCAATCAAATGTAGGGGGTGTCATTTAAAAAAGTCAATGTGACCTTGACCTGACCTTGACGACGCCATCCAAGGTCAAACTGATAGAATCAGTATATAGATCTTCTTAAACCCTACAACTTTTGTTGGAAACACTTTTCTGTAAAACGTATATTTTCCGAGATATTTAGGGGTTTCCACACTTTTGGTAGACCCTGTATATATATATATATATTGTGAATATACACAATAATAATATTTTGAAGTTACAATTTAAACCGCGTAAGCCGGATATTGTTTCAATAGAATTATATTACGTTGAAATTATTTATCTAGCATAATTAGAATTATGCATATGCATTAGTAAAAGTATGTTATATAATAAAATTTCTTCAAAATTTTATTATTATTTTCAACACTTGAATCGAAATCGATATTGCGTGATTACTGTCATTTCTTAACCTTTTTGGTATTCATATAGATTAGGTAACGAATAATTATTACTCCCTGTTGAGAATAATTGTTAATCAATGTTGGGTGGTACCATTTCAGCTTGTATAGTGCTGATTGTCGGTTTTCGTGACGCGCTGTTCTCTTCCTTGCCTGATTTTGGCAAAAGATCTGGTTGTGTAACCTTGTCCGCATTCTTCTCTTTATAATATTTCACTGCAGCAGCAATCATCATGCCTATCCCACTCAGCATCATGAACCACATCAATATCCTAAAATAGAAAATTAAACAATGAATTCAATAACTTTATCATGAAAATATCTCGAAGAAATGAAGAAATTTATTTTGCAAAACTGTTTACAAAATTTTTTAAATTGATCTTATCTATTACAGTAACAGAATGTATAGTGTATTTTTAAGCAATTTCGATGTTAAAATATAATGCAATAAAAATGAAAAATTATACGAAGTAATAACAAACTGAACTTTACTTACTTTGCGACTAAAATTTGTTTATACGCAACTTTCAATGGTTTTATCAAAACTTCCCCTAGTTCAAGTCCGTCCTCTACATAAAATATCGGGAAGAGCACTTCCGGGAAGGATTTCATTAATTTAAGTTTAGGAATAGGTCCGACCAACACGTTGAATTGAATCTTCTTATATGCTCTTATTGGAGTACCTGTCATTATCTCAAAATCGAAAGTCATCTGGTGCTTCTCCTAACAAGTAACATATAATCTCATAACCATTATAAATTCTTGATAATTCACTCCAATTTTCACGATTTAAGATTTATCCTATTTTGTTCTCTTATTTAATATAGACTCTTCTTATTATTATTTCCGAAAAAATAATTTTATTATAATCCAAGTAATGATATATTAATGCATCTGTAATATTTTAACAGTCTCTCGTAAAATTAAGTCTCTTGTAAACGACTAAACTTACAGGATCAGGATTCAATCCATCGATCATTTCGAGATATCGTGGATCCGAATCAAGAAGATGAGGTAAGCTTATTCTTATAGGCACGCTTTTGCAGGGACCTGCATTATATACATTTTTCGGCATGCATCCCTCAGGCTCGAGACAGAGACACTTGGCATCCTCATCCGTAGACGGATCGCCCAAATCTGCCGTATAGTGCAGCGTTTTGAAACCTACATTAAAAAATTATCGAAATTGTTTAATTCTATATTATCACTAATTTATAAATACAAAGTATTTCAGAAATGAACGAAATATGATTTTTGTAGAAATTGTATACTGAGAAAAATCATTTAATTGTACCAATAAGACGTATATGATTGAAGACATTTTGGTTAAATTAAACAAGAATTTCTAGTATCATAATAAGATTCGATTTTTTATAACTAGAACGTTTAATATATTTTACTATGATTTGGTTAATATTTTCTGGTTGAATCTATAAAATTTCTTATTGCATTAACTTCTTTGCTTGCCGCTAGACGGCGAGCCACTCTTAACTTTACTCGTATTAAATATTTGCCATGAAATGTATATAAAGAACTAGTATTCACATTAAATCCAAAGTATATTTTTTTTCTTTTACGAGTAAGTGCCAGAAAGAGGACGCTCTTTGATTGTGTGTGTTTGAGCTGAATTCTCTTCTTGCATCACTGTTTATCAGTTTAATTTCTAACAAACTGAATTTAAAATAATTTATATAATTTATTCAATAATCTGGATTGAATTTATCCAATAATCTTGTTGGAATTTAGAATATTAAACAGACTTTTGAGATTAGATGGAAAAAATTTAGACGATTTGGTGCTGGCGAGTTTAGTATTATTAATCAGAAAATTTGGTAAATTTAACAGGAAGAAATTAATCTTGGTAATTCCTACAAGAATTCTGGTTTGTCTATTTTCCAACAGACATACTGATTGAATCTACCAGAATTCTAATTAATGCAACCAGATTTTTTTCTCAGTGTAGAATTTTATTATATCGATGATTTTTAATGTTCAGAATGGAGGCTCTATAATTTTTAATGTTAAATATTTTTATATTTAAATGTCTTACATCTTGTGTGTGTGTGTGTGTGTGTGTGTGTGTGTGTGTGTATGTGTATGTGTATAAAATATGTATTATATCTTTACGCATATAAATGTATCTTATATGTGTTTAAATGTTAATATATGTGTGTATGTGTGAAGTTTATTTAATTTAAGATTAATCTCAAATTCTCCAGAGAATTACTATTAATAGAATTTAATAAAATTATTTAAAAATCTAATATTATTTATTAATTAATTATTTTGTTTTTATTTTGTTTCTCTCATCATTAAATAAAGAATTATAATATTTTATAATTTATGTGCATACATGTTACATATTTAAAAGAAGTTTATTTAAAATAAGTAACATTTCTTTATAGATATTGATACCTTGAACCATCCCTGGTTCAACATAATAAGCAGGTATACTTCGGCAGATGTCTGGAAAGACTGCCCAAACATCTCTATCTTCAGTGAGAAACGGCGGAAAAATAGTTCCATCCGTGCCGCGATAATCGTTGCATGGATTATCAGGCCATATACTCATTTTCGTTGCATTTCCTATCGATAATACACGTCCGACGTCTTTATAATTCTTGATTCCTCGAAATACTCTTATGCGATCTGGGAAATAGGTTCCATTTGCCTGAAATACAAATAATTGATATAAATATTTATAGGAATAATAAATAGGAAATATAAGAATAATAAGATAATATAGGAATAATAAATAGGAAATATAGAAATAATAAATAATAAATTAATAGGAATAATTGATAATAAATTTATAGGAATTGTTATAGAATATAATTACGAGATATTATATTTTTAAGATATTATATTTTTAAATATATATTTTTAAATATATTCTAAAAACAAAATATAAATAAATACATGTGTATACGTGTTAAATATTAAAATAATTAATATTTTTCTACACATTTTTTAAAATAAAATATAATTATATAAAATAATTAAATATATAATATAATTATTAAATTTAATTTTTCATAAATGATTTATTTTAATATAGCCTTTACAGCACCATTTATTTTTGTTTTATAATTAGATATTTAAGAATATATTTTTTATATATTTAAGGATATATTATACTTAAGAATTCTTTGTGCAAAATTAATATATCAATATATCTTTGAAGATATTAGACTAAAAGAGTATTTATTGTTATAGAATTGTTTTTAAAATCTTGCAGCAATATAAAAATATAATTGCGCAAAAAAATGTCGCTTTAAAATAATACAGATACATACCTTAGCGAGAAAACCATATCTATAACGTAATTCAGCCTCTCGGATGAGAATATCTTCCTTTTCTTGTAACGCGCTACACACTGCGGATCCAGCGAAATCCTTTATCTCCGAACAATCGACACGTAAACCATAGAAGAATAGTTCTTTCATGTTAGTTTTAATAAATATTGATTCGGGTTTCTGGAAGATACTATCAAGCGCCTTGCCTAAAGATATTCATAATGTAAGAATTGATATTTCATCCTGTTTATTTTATTTTACAATTTCAAAATTTTGAAATATAGTGTAGCATATTATTCATAACATGTATATATCAGAAAATAGATCAGACATATAGATTAATACTACTATGAAAAATTAAACTTTAAAAAGTAAATTTAAATCAATCAGTTATTATTAATTAATTAATTATTATATTATTATTTATTAATTATTAATAAGATAATTTTTTAATTTATTTTGTTAATCAATTAATAATTAGAAACAGTCAAATAAAAGCCAAAGAAAAGAGTGATTGCATAACATTTTTCAAATGTTTTAAGGATTTTAATTCAGGAAACATAGTTGTGTATATGTATATCTTCTTAATTGTAGAATTTTTAAATGTGAGATTATTTTTATACTTCTCGGGAAAAAACTTAGATAGAAATGTAAGCAAAAAAATATTACAATTGTTAAACCAAGAATTTACATGCTCTGATATTTTTCTCTCTTACGCTCTGATCTTTTCTCTTTTCTATCTCTGATATTTTCACTTTTCCATATATTTTACTCTTTGAAAGTTTAAAAAATCTCGGAACATTTTACAATTTGAAATGTATTATACAATCAGATTGTTTTAAAACAAAGCTAAGAATTTCTTAAAATATTCAAAAAATATTTCATATTGTTTATTTACACACATCTTGACTCTTATTAGAAAGTTTATAATTATTATTTGAGATAAATAATATAACACTATACATTTTTCAAAATTAAAATTATTCAATAATTAATAAGATAATTAATAACATACTACTTAATACATTTTAACTTTACATTAAATTCTTGAAAGTCTCCAGTAGATAAAATAAAAGACGTAATTAAAATCGACCACACTGGCAATTTTATTGATGGTACAGAATCACAATGTTTCGACCATAGGTTTTGGTCCTTTTTGAATGAAAGTAATTTAGTTAATTATTATATCGTGAGAAATAAAGAAATCACTTCGTCAAGATTATCATGTCAGCTCCATGTCCTCTCCATCAACACACAGAGAAAGACTTAAGTCTTTACTAGACTTTCAGTTTTTCTCTGTGTGTTGATGGAGAGGCTGACATGATAATCTTGACAAAGTGATTTCTTTATTTCTCACGATAATAGTTACTAAATTACTTTACTCGAAAAGGACCAAAACCTATGGTCGAAACGTTGTGATTCTGTACCATCAATAAAATTGCCAGTGTGGTCGATTTTAATTACGTCTTTTACATTTTAACTTTCTTAATCATACGATATTTCATATGTTTATTCCATTACGTACTGATGACCCCCATCGCAGTTGGCTTATCTCTTTGTATGATCAGAATTATTGCTATCATGAGGGGATGAAACGTGTAAATCTCCGCATTCTCCGACATAACACTCTTTTCCGGATTGAAGTGCCAAGTTTGTCGTAAACTATACTCGACGGTATCATCTGCGTCCCGGTCCTCAATGTTCTCCTTATCTCGATATAAACTGAAAATCATATCAATATCCATAAATTTCCATATCTTTATTTATTACTTTTAGTTATTTTCAATTATTATTTGTATAATTACAAATATACATTATTTAATAATTGCAAAATTGCACTTACTAAATTTTTTTTAGATTTTAAATAAACTGCTCCAATTTATATTCACATATTATTTAAAGCTCTCTATACTGTAAACATTTAATCTAGCTATTTTTATAAAAAATTATGCAATTGGCTAAATTATCTTAATATCATAAATAAAATTACAATATTATAGAAAATATTATACTTACTCATAATGAAAAGGTCCCACTTCCTGCACAATCGGCTTCGCTCCTGTTTTAATTTCAGATGGATTTGTTACGTTGAAAATGTAGATCTTGAAATCTAGTGGCTGCGGAAGTTTCTCCCAAAAATCGCGCATTTCATCTCCCTTTTTCAACCTAATTTGCTGTAAATTTGTAAAACTTAACATTTTTACACGCAAAGCTTTTTCTCTATGTATCAAAAGTTCTGTGATTAATACTTTTATTTTCAGTGTATATATAATTGTTGGCCAATCAAATATGATCTATAGTAAAATGGATTTAAAATTAAAAAAAGAAGATTTTACTAAATATTTATATGTTTGTGAAACTTAATTTGTGATATCTTAAAATTGACAAAATCATCATTTTTTAAATTCTGATTTTAGTATTTCGAAAATAAATCGCCAAGAAAGGACATGTAATCATTACTTACAGATTTGACTTGTGATTTCAATATAGCAGGAAATACTGCAGTGTAGATAATAAACATCATGGAAAACGTACAGGAGCCGGCAAGTCCGAGTTTTTTTACAGACACCATATTATTAATCTAAAACACACACGCACGCCACAAACAAACTGAATTATATTTTTTATGTTGCACCTTTCAATAAAAAATTATCAACACCTTATATCCTTCAGTAACATGTAGCACAATGTTGAGGATTTTGCCGATCGTGAAAAAGGATAACAGACGCCTCAGATTCGAATTACGCATAGCATCGTTTATATGACGTAAAACACGACGCGTGTTGTTTTCTAATTTGAATTTTATGCAAAGAAATTCTTGAAAAATACCCATTTTTTGCACTGACAAGAATTTCAATTTTTAAAATAGACAAAAAATCTTAAATTATCAAACAAGAAATCTTGATTCTTAAAATCTTCGATCTTTAAAAATAATATTCAATATTTAATTATCAAAAACTAACAAATTTCCCTTTGATAACACTTGATTTTTAAAAATAATAAATTCTTATTTTAAATTAACAAAATCTCTTTCTTTTCCAAATAATGTAAAATAAGAACTCCACAATTATCGAGAGAGAATTCTCAATCCTTAAAATTAATAAATTTTTAGATTAATTTCTTTAAATCACGGAATATTTTATATTTCATTTTTTTCTTTATTGGATCGTCTGTTTTTAGGAAGCATCTGAGTAGCACACCTGAATAAATTTTTCTTCAGAAAACTTCTATAACAAAAAAATTGCTCTTTTCGTCTTGTGCTCTGATCTCGAGCACTTCTTGTCATCGGTCCTCAGCAATTCTCACTAGTGAACTATCTAGTGCCCAGAGTTTCTCTCACGTTCACAGTTTCTCACATATATATATATCTATATCTATATCTTTATTTGTACACTGATTCGTGATTCGTCGACATCAATTTATTGCGACTGCGCGATCAGTAACTTTTGGATAAGATTTATTAGTCTGCGGTGAAAATACAAGTGCGGCTATCAAAATAAGTTTCTAGGTACTTTATCTATTTTTGTATTTTATTATTTTATTTTCTTATTTTATATACCGATTTAGAAACAATTATAAGAAGCTAATGCGACAAAAAGAATGAAAAACTATTATGATTTTAAAATGGCCGCAGGTTTCATCTAAATTGAAGAATAAAATCTGAAATATTAAATTTATATATGTTCAAAATAAGCATGCACATTTAAAGAGTAATAGATTCCAATCTTTTTAAATTATTTTTTAATAAGGTTCACTTTTGTTTCGCAAAATATCATATATAATTGCTATGAAATAGCAATAATATTTTACTAAAATAAATTGTCAATATAACATTTATCACATTTGCATATAATTTTAAAATATAAAATATAAAATAAAGTAATATTTTATTATATATTTTTTTTAAATTTTGTTATTTATTGAATGCGATTTAAATCTTTTAGAAGTATAGAAACTCTAAAGAGTATCTCTAAAGTAAAATATCTAAGATCCAGTTGCACCAATATTATTTTAACTTTAAGTGAAACTTAAATATATGTCTGTCTTTATTTATTTAGAAAGAAAGATAAAGATAGACATATATTTATGTCTCGCTTGAAGCTAAAATAACGTTGATGCAACCTAAAATATCTAAAATAATCTAAAATAAATCTGAAGTATCTAAAGAAAACAAAAAATTTCTAAAACTGTAATTAATTATAAAATAACTTTTAAGTAGTTAAAAAAATAAAAAATATAGGATATATGTATAATGTAAATTATCACTTATTCAACATGTAATATTTTAATAACACAAATAATTGAATCAAATTATAAACACTTAAATTTTAATAAAAAAATTTTCTTATAAATTTTATTTATAATAAATTACCAAAATTATTATAATTATACCGATAAAAAACTTTGAAATGAAACAGTTTTTAATATCTAGTATTTTTCTCATAAAAAATTATTTTTATAAATAACATGTTCCTGCTTATTAATAATAAATACAAGTATACATTGTTAATCAATTAAATTTTGGTGGACGGGAACAGAGTTTGCTCTATATATCAATTATGAATTTAGTTTAATGTATGCGAAATGTATACCACATTTTCATTAGTTTCACACTTAGAAAAAATGTCAAGATAATTAAACACGCAAAGATATTTTTGCAATTTATTATACATTAGACTATAGATATACTAATGGTAGTGTGTGAGATATCAGAACAAATAAAATTCACACAAGCATAGCTCTAATTGTAAGAGAAACACAGCAAAAGAAATTAACTATAATTAATTATAATTACATTTTAAATATATTCTATTCTATAAATTAAGGATATACATATATATATATATATATATATATATATATATATATATATTGTGTTTCTCTTACAATTAGAGCTATGCTTGTGTGAATTTTACTTGTAGAAATTAACATATATATTAAAATATGAAAATACATATATATACAGGGTGAGGCATCTAAAACAGGCCACCTGAATAACTCCGTTGGTAAGCCGAATATAAAAAAATTGTTCAGACAAAAGTTGTATGGTTTCAAGGGGGACATATGATGGTGTCATTAGTTTAATCTTGAAGAGCCACCCAAAGGTCACGTGAAGGTCAGCTCCAACTTTTTAAATGGGACACCTTATATGCTTTTGCATATTCTTGTAGCTCATCTCAAGAGCTTTCCAAAACACTACAATTATGTTAGTTTTCATTAAATACTTTCCAAGTTATGAGGCTTGAAATCATTTTTTAATTTTACATAAACCGTAAAATATCTTGTAAAATATTCTTTTTTCGATTATTTTACCTTAATACTTTTATATACAAAATAATGAGAAGAATCAATTGGTGTAAAGAAAACACATAATTGCTTCGAACAAAAAAATATAATTGTTAATTGCAAATTACATTTTTTTGTTCGAAGCAATTATGTGTTTTCTTTACACCAATTGATTCTTCTCATTATTTTGTACATAAAAGTATTAAGGTAAAATAATCGAAAAATTAATATTTTACAAAATATTTTACGGTTTATGTAAAATTAAAAAATGATTTCAAGCCTCATAACTTGGAAAGTATTTAATGAAAACTAACATAATTGTAGTGTTTTGGAAAGCTCTTGAGATGAGCTACAAGAATATGCAAAAGCATATAAGGTGTCCCATTTAAAAAGTTGGAGCTGACCTTCACGTGACCTTCGGGTGGCTCTTCAAGATTAAACTAATGACACCATCATATGTCCCCCTTGAAACCATACAACTTTTGTCTGAACAATTTTTTTATATTCGGCTTACCAACGGAGTTATTCAGGTGGCCTGTTTTAGATGCCTCACCCTGTATATATATATATATATATATATATATATATATATATATATATATATTTATATTTTAATATATATGTTAATTTATACAAATAAAATTCACACAAGCATAGCTCTAATTGTAAGAGAAATTGTAAGAGAAAAAAAAATATATATATATGTATATTTTTTTATTTTAATATATATGTTAATTTATAGAATAAAATATTTAAATGTTGACGCTTTTTATCCCATATCGCTCGATGTTATAAGGATATATATATATATATATATATATATATATATATATATATATAAATCATTTAATTAAAATGGATCTCAAGACATTTAAATTTAATATAAAATATATTTTTTAATATAAAATATATATTTGTATTATAAAATAAATTTAATATGACAACAAATTACAATAAATCAATGACAATAACAATAAATCAAATTAATATTATTCTTTCATGTAACCTGGTATAACTTGTTTCACTTGATCTCTTGGAGTTCATTTCTTTCGATCGCGATGATGTTTGTCACCTTTAAGTCAGTATTATGGATCCGCGCCTTTGGTGTCAAGTGTAACGCCTATCGAACGCAAAAGGCGCCGAAGGATTAATAAAATATGAGTCCACTATAGATACTCTATAGTATTCGCTACGAACAATTCCTATACATTATTACTAACGTCTATCGTAGACGTAGTTATCATAACCGAGGTCTTATTAAAATAAATCGCTATACACAAAAGAAAGTCAAAGTTTTCGCATGCGATTAAGTAAAAGTATTAAGAAGATCACATATGCTTAGAAAGAAATCGTAATAATGGAGTTATTAAGAGGAGATTCAGTATATTCTTTGTGATATTTGCAGCTGCATACTTATAATCATACAATATAACATAGATTAGCGTTCTGCTAATTAAATTCTCACACAATAATATTTTTAAAATTTTCTTGTACAAATTCACATTTTTATATATAATTATGAAATATAAAAAATATAAAATTAAAAATAGTAAGTAAAATAAAAAAATAATAAAATCTTAAAGGAAAGAATGTATCACACATGTAGCAAATTTACTTTAATAAATTCCATCTCTTGAAGCCGAATTATATCACGTAGATAAACAAAGTACAAATTACACTTTATATGATGCGTCATACTACACTATGAAATTCGAATCGGCATAATTTTCGTACAATTACGAATCTGTTTGTCAAATTTGCTTATTTATACAATTCACAAGCAAAATTTTTCCTCGTCAAAGCAGAACAGTCGCGTTTTTTGCCGAGAGAAAGAAAATCCGTACGTCTACATCGCTAAACGCAAAACGGATACTGAGAGCTATAATGGCGAAGAGATAGCGATTCGCCGTAACGGGGTTACGATATTGTTTCAGAGCATACGAATTAGACGGATGACATGAGCCTTTTTCTCGGATGACAGAGGGCGAGAACGCGTTCACGTGTTTTTCTCGCTTTATTTACGGAACAGCCGTATGGTTGGCGAATGATGGTCGATAACCGGTAGCATCGCGTTTGTTCGCACGATCGCTGATGTATCGTGTATAGTTAACCCTCTTAGGTAGCAGCAGACGCGGTTATGCTTGTCTATCTTCCCTGTAACTATGGAATTTACTTGCTAAACAATTTATTACCTAAAGCAACTATTAAGCACGCTGAAATAAAGATAATTTCATTTTCCCTAGCTTAAACTACATCAAAGTACGCAGGAATAAAATAATTTATTTACTTGTATTTTTAATTAATAATAATTAATTAATAATAATAATTAATGTAGTTTTATTGAAGATTAAAATTTTATTACATCGATGTTACTCTCTCATTAAAGAGAACATAGATGATTTAAGAAATAATCTAGGCTTCTATCAGAGAATTTTTTTCTCCCCCTGCAATAAATCGCGATCAATCGCGAATAACTGAAAATCAATGGTGATATTTCGGGGTTGATTGAAAAAAATGTAGTCCTCCAACCTATAGACGCAAGTAGATTTATGTATGCTTTCTAACACGAGCCACGCGACGCCTCGGCTAATAATAAGTATTCGCTCGTCAACAATGCATGAGAGAGTCGCTACGTGGAAAACGCGACCTTTTCCTATCGCCTCCATTGGTACACTTTTCCGATCGTAGGAAATGTGACGTTTTTCACCCCACGTCGCTCGATGCGCAAGCACGGGGTGGAGATTCGAGGACACGCGATGGAGTCTCATTGGTGGACGATACCACCCCCGAACGTGATAGGGGTTGCTACATGCTTACGCAAAAATCTTTGCATTTACGTTTCTTCTCGCATATTTGTATTTTCATTGTTCTGCATTGATCCGAAACTTTTCCCACAAAGGTTACAGATTTTCTAGTTGTAATATTGATTATAAGATACTTCAGTGTTCCAAGTATCACTATTTACATGATTACTTTCCTTGTCTGTAAAATAAATAAAAGTTATATTATTTTTTTTTATCAAATTAAATACTTAATGTTTTTCTCTTTTACGAAATATTATATAGTATGTTGTGTATATAATAAAATATCGACATTATTATAAAAAATTGTTATTGTGAATACAAATATAATAGTTAAAAGACAAGGCCGTTTGGACAAACCACAAAATAATTTATGGCTTTATAAACTTGCTACCATTAGGTATATAAATGCATAAGTAACTCATTCTTACCTTGTATTATAACTATCTTACGTGTCAGGCAGGTGACTTTGTTACTGCATTAATGATGATGACAATACTTGTTAATTGAACAAGTTCACGCTATGAGCGATAGAACTATTACTATTATTCTCAAGATTATTGGGAAATATACAATTTATTAAGAACAAAATTTATTTAATTTCTTTTTTCTCTCTTTCACACGCACAGCAACTAAAAAAATTTTCACATAGAATTTCTACTAATGTAAGAACAATATAAAGATAGAAAAATTCTAACAGATACACACAGAACAAAAAGGGAGAAAATATAAATATTTTCATAATATTTATTTAAAAAAAAAAATAGATGAAGATTTATCAATTCTTAATATATTATATATTTACAGGCAAGATTAATTATGATTAATAAAATGTCTAGAATATAATTGCACTTATATAATGCGCTATCATTATATTACACAAATTATGGATAGATTAAGTAACGATAAGCGATGAATACATAATATCGTCGAGACGGAGATGCATTATCACCAGCCATGCGATTTATAGTGCGCATGTATGGTAACCGGCACCGGATACGGTTTCGGCACGTGTACCGGTACAGCCACGTGTACTGGATACGGCCGATCCACGTGCACGATCTTCTCGAAGGTGACGGGATATGGTTTAGGCACCGGTACCGGGACATGTATCGGCCGATCCACCGGCACATGCACCGGTTTCTCAACCGGCACCGCGACCGGCCGATCCACGTGAACGACCTTCTCTACAGTGACAGGATACGGTTTAGGAAACGGCACTGCCACGTGAACGATCTTCTCCACGGCTACGGGAACCGGTATGTGTTTGGTGACCGGCACCGCTATAGGCACCGCGATCGGTTGCGGTACCGGATGCGGTATCGGTTGTGGAAAAGCTACTGGTACTGCCGCTGGAAAAAAATAGAAATGTTAATTAATACGTAAATTATTATAATTAAAATGTCATTCATTTAAATTCCACTTATATAATAAATTAATGGAATTTATTTACTTGTGTTTTTAATTAATTACTCAAATTCTATTAATAAAATTAATAAAATTTGAATAGATTAAAAAACAGGTAAATGAAATCAAAGCTTTGCTCTTCATCGCATGTAAATTTTTCGGTAGTAGACAAGCGTTTTATTATAAACTATGTTTTAACTGTTGCATAATTTTATATTAAAATGTTTACATTTTTCAAACATTTAATAGATATAAATATTTAACAGATATAATTTAATAAATATAGATATAAATTCATTAACCTATTGGATGTCCAACAGCTATGGCTGGCTGTTCCGGTACGTGTCCCGGTATCGGATGCGCGAGGTCTGGCGCTGGAATTTCATAAACTGGAGGTGCTGGAGCTGCTGGAGCCGATGGAATCGATGGCGGACCGTATAGCTGTTCCTGCTGTTCCTGCTGAAAACTGTATCCCTGCAAACCGTCCAACTCTCTTTTTTGGTATTTCTTCTCCTCAATAGTTCTCTTCCGTTGCTCTGAATTTCTTCCAGCGGTAACTGCTATACCGCTAGCTAACATTAGCGATATCATCTGCGAAAACGTGATAAGGAGACATTAAATAATGAATTTATGCTTTGCAGAATTTTTTCTTCCCAACAATTACTTTTTAATTTTAAATAAATATGTTATTTATTTGGAGTCGTGTATATTTAATAATTTAATTAAGTTAATCATTCTGAAAATTGTACAAATCAAATTTTTTCAGAATCTAATATTACTACAGTTAATACAATCCTGACATATGATTCTTAATTATCAATTATTTTAGTGCCTTAAAAGTATAGATTAAATTTATTTTATATTTGTAGATCGCGCGATATTATAAACAATATAAAAACAATGCACTATCATTCATCGCGATTCACAAATAATACACAAATCACTGAATAAGAATGCGCTAATTTTTCATTCTCCGTCGTCATCGAATCCAAATGAAAATTACATCAATTGTATTTGATTTTGACGATGATAAAAAAAATACAAGAATTCGCGTTAGTACCAGATGCAGCCTCATGACTGATGATCACTCGAGTTTCAGTTACTCGTCGCGATGCCGACGAAAAACTGAGTTCGTTTCAGAATTGTGACCCCCATATATATTTATAGGGCATCACCCACGGATGCGAGTGGCATCGTCGATTGAAAAAGACGAGCGATTCTATGACCGATACACTTTCGCTGCCGCCCGAATTTGGGTGGCAGCCAAATAGCGATTCGGGACCACGATTTTCTCTTCTATGTGGTTGAACGAAGGCGACGAGGAAGACGCGCGGTGCGCATAGAGGAACCCATGCATTAACGCATTAATGCATTCATATTAGATGACCTTTACGCTTTGTCTTCCCGATCGTTACATAGCCGCAATCGTTCACGATATGTGAGCGTTCAGTTCAATATTGCCTATACACCATTCGGGAATCGATTTCGCGCAAAATGCAGCAATACTAGCTTCTGAGACATGTATCAAGAAATAACGCGTTCTATCTAAATTACATCGCGAATTTGGTTTCTTAATACATGTGAAAAGAAGCTCCAGTTGCTAAAAAAAAGCTGAGTTCATAATTAAAATGTCCAATGTACGGAAAACTAATATAAGTATTTTTTAATGAAAAATTCAGAGGAAAAGATTAATAAACAATTAACGAATTTGACGCATCGACGGAATAAAAGACGTGCATTCGCATTCGCTGCTCCAGCAACGGAGATCACACTCGGTCCTTTTCAGACGCGCGGGGGTCCTCTTTCTTTATTCGGTAAACGAGATTGAGACGGGTTCGTGTTTTCCTCCATGTTCTTCCGCGTTATTTGCGAACTTTCCTAACTTTCATTTTCTAACACCGCTTGATCGTTCCTAATGCCGACCGCGCTACCAGTCATTCATTATTCATCGGCGAGTTCGAGCCAGCAAACGTGTAACATACACACCCAATGACGTTGGTCAAGGTTTGCCAACCACGTATTGCGAATTAGTAGAATGTGCACTAGTGTATGTTGTAACAAAAAAAAACGGCCGTGTCGAACATGTACGATTCGACAGCATTGACAAGAGAACAATGTTGTCTGCACTCTTATGAGATAATAAAGGAAACGTTTCATCGCGTAAACTTTTACCGTTTTCCTCCTCTTTCTCTTTCAAACACATGTCATAAACTTTAATTTACCTTCGTCTCTCTGCTTTCTATATTTACATATGCATATTAGCACTTTTCTTCTTATTTAAATGTTTGAAAACACTTCCTGGTTGGAAATACTTTCAGCAAGATGTGCTGATTTACGTTAGTTATATTTTCTTGTTCCACATCATCGTAAATAAAATCGTAAATATTATATAGATAAAGATAATAATTAACCCTAGAATTAACTTAGAATTAATTAATACAGAGAGATTATCAATGCGATTGAAACTTAACTATTGTATGAAAGTTTTTACAATGTTATCACAACTCTTGTCGCATAACGTAATTCGTTCGTAAAAATTTCCCGAGAGTTTTCTTTTCACTGTACATACACGGAAGTACGATTTGAGCATAATTAAATAGGCATAGAGATATAGGTGAATGATAGTGCTTCGGTCTCGTCGAACGTAATTATGACATCAGTTGACTGTGAATACAAGATCGTAATCGAATAGGAAACTGGTGTCGTTCTTGGCAAAAGGCGCATATACAATGAGGAAAAAACTTGTTAACTTGATTAAACTATTTAATTAAATTATTATTTTTTTAATTGAAATATTTAAATATTTTATATATTATTATATTCTTTAAGTAACATTTTTTATCCTTTATTATCCTGTTTTACTCTTTTATTTACATCCTTCGTTACTTCGAAACATCATCGCAAACTGGATCTACGGACGACTTTCATCACCGGAAGCTTAATTTCGATCTATAAAGGTGAATTCCCGATTTGATCATAGATGGGAACCTGGCTTGTTCCTTGATCTGTCAAACAGTCTGATCTGCAAATATAAAAGGCATCTGCTGAAGCGATCTTACGAACAGTTTACTCGCGACGAGAGAGAGCAATGTCGAAGATTCTTATAAGTTGCTTGGTATCTCTTCATTTAATTATTTTTAATCAAGATTATCATTGTAAAATCTGTATGCATAGAATATTTGATTTCTAAAAAAAATTTTCTTCGACTTTTTCTGACGTATTTATTACTTCTTTAGGTTATAATTCTTCTTTTGGATATAATTGATGATCTATTTAAATATTAAGCAAATTTCTTTCTTTTTATTATCTTATTATTATTTCTATCTTTTTATTTATTTTAGTTGTTCCTGATATTAGTATGCACTTACGCGCTCGCATCAGTTCCGGAAGATGCTAAGCAGAAACGGGGCATCATCGGTAATGATAGATGGATCGGTCTATCAAGTCTTTACGAACATGGACATCCGTGGTCGGTCGATCATATTCCATGGAAAGGACTCAAACTACCTGAAGTTAATCTGTATGTAGGGTAAAAATATTAATATTTAAAAAATATGTATAATATATTTATTAATACGAGAATAATAAGTAACGATCTGTGTTGAATTTGAATAAAAATCGGCTTATAATAGTACAGTAAATACACATGTTTCTTTACGTTCTAATTAAATTATTATTATCATTTGAAAAGGCGTTGCAGAAAACTCGAAAGTTAATATATATTTTCCATAAAATTCATTTTTATTTATTGCAAATTATATATAACATACGCTGTAATTCTCATTTGTTTAATGTTTCCTAAAAATCATACAATAATGTGTCGACAATTGATCGTTGCATTTATCAACATTTTTTATTGATTTTATTAATAGATTGCATTTGGCAGAAGCGCTTTCAACTTATGACAAAAATAACATCGCCTCGACACACGGAATTTTGGAAACCTTTCCAGTGTATATAACTAAGCACGTGGTCGTGGAAAAACCGGTGCCAGTTCCAGAACCAGTGATCATAGAAAAACCATATCATGTGCCGATACCAATTGAGAAGATCATTCATAAGCCAGTTCCTGTCCCGATACCGGTGCCACAGGTAACGTATATTTATCTAACTATTTTTTACTTTTATTGATACGCAAAATTATATTATTAACGATGGATCAATTAATTATTCTTTTTAAATAAAAAAATTATAAAGACAATTATTTGTCACAATCTTTTTATATTCTTTATATTCTTTTTATATTCTTTTTATAATCTTTTTATATTAACATTTTACATTTAATGTTTCTATATTTAACGTTATAAAAATATATTAATAATTGTGCATGTTAATTTTAAACATATTAAAATATATTTATATATAAATAAAAACTAACAAAGAAAAAATAAACTCATGAAAAAAAATTATTCGATTTTAATTACACAATCTTCAATCAAAGAAAAATCATCTATCTAGATTTGATTAAAAATATATTATATATTATATATTATATATTATAAAGCTATATTATATATTATATATTATAAAGCTTTTTTTATCAAAAACGTAAGCGTTATCCAAGTCGCATATATTTCGATCGATCAGAGATTATTTTCCACACGAACAGGCGGTGCCGATTCCAGTGAAGGAACCGATCGTGGTGCCAGTGCATCAGCCATATCCGGTGAAAGAAACGGTGCCAGTGCCGGTTCCGGTACCAGTTCCGGTTCCGATTCAACCGATCCCACCGCCGCTTCCGACTGGCGGGCTTCCTGGTGGCATCTATGCGCGCGATCACGTACCCGGCCATCTTTACGTCCCGTTTTACCATCCGCCGTCAAACACCCCGCGCTTGGATCACAACATCGCCGCGCTTCCCCACGGCTTGGGTCACGGGCTTGGCCACGTGTTAACGGATGGTCACAGTTATGAATACGATGCCCATGCCGACCATCTTGTCCACCATGATCACAAAAAAAGAAAGACTGACAAGAATTGAGGGGCGAGTGGGGACGGAGAGAAAAAAAGAAAACGCTTTCATTTGTATGTAGTTGAAAAAATAAATTTTGACAGAAGAAAGGAACGGATTAAATTCACGTATATTCCGAGGTTAAAGATTCTTTATAATGTTGACCGAAAAAAATAATTTTTTGAAAGGAATTATTTTTTTAATATTAAGCTTGTGTAAAAATATGAAGATGTTGGAAAATATACGAATTTATATAAAAATTATGTGTGTATATATGACATCATTTTCTTGAGGAACATTTATTTAAAAAATTAAGAGTTTTTAATTAGAGAATTAGATATTTTTTGTTGATCCTCTTTTTCTTTTTTAAATACATAAATTTCGAAGAAATAGTCGAGATGATAATGCTTTCTAATATATTGACATTTTTAAATATATGTCACATATGTGTATCTATTGTTATTTAGATATATCTTTTTAATGAAAAGCACTTCTTTTTCGATAATAACGCAATCGAACAGAAAACACACGATTTCAAAGTAAATTCATATAAATTATTTACAATGTATTGTATACATTGCTATTATAATTTAAATTCGATACAAAAAGTATCGAATTTAAATTATAATCGCAATACGAATCTTTAAAGAAACACTTATATACATGGCGACTATAAAAAAAATACTCTCTTTTTTTTGGCTAGAGAGACCCATATGTATATAAATAAATTTCGTTTTAAAACTTGAAATTATAATTACAAATTTTATCTTGTAGTTTGTAAAAATCATGACTGAATATTAGAGAAACTCGAACTAGAAAAATCACACATAATATTTGTACTCCCTTTACTTTACTTTCAACTAAAACAAAAAGACAAGCACACGCTTTCGAGCCATTATCGGTCCAGGTGTTTAAAGGGAGAAGGAGAAGCGCAAGATACATCGGATTTTTTCTCTCATATTTAAAATTTATCACTTATTTTCAAGCGCTTTTCATTTCTTGAAGAAAGGAAAAGGATTACAGTGATAAAAGTGACAGTGCGGCGAATGAAATCCTATCAATCTTTTTCTCTCTCGACTAAAGAAACAGCTGATCCAATTTTATCGAGAGGAGAAACGCTCATGTTCTCCCGAATCACATCCGGTAAACGATTAACATTAATACATTAAACGTTTTCCTACAGTTTTACCATGCTACTAAAGACAATGTAATTGTAACCATTGTCTTGGAAAAAAATCTGGATTCCAAGAAAAATCAATGTCAGGGGTTGGTGCAATATGATTGCTCGTCTCGAAAAGTGACAGGACTCTTGTCGGCACGCGGCTAATTACAGCTTTAGTGAGTATATTTTCTTGATTTTTATAAAATCATCTGCGAATCTCGCATGAAAACTCATTTTTCTAACATTCGTTGATTAACAGGATATGATAAGGCGTGAGGTTATGTTACTGGAATTGTAAACACACATGTATACTCAGTCACAATGACCATATAATACAATATTAAGGCGACTCAAAGACTGACGAGATGTTGAAATTGGACGAAATGGAATGTAAGAACGTGTCTAAGAAAACGAGGAAAAATTTAGAAGATAAGAAAAGTAAGTGTCACAAGAAGAATAAGCATACCACTAACAGTGGACGTAAGTTGAGAAGCAGCATGGAGCATGCTCTGTGCAAGGAAGAACCTCAGGAAGAGGAGACATCGATAGAACTGCTGTATCTCACAAAGGATTCTATAGACTCTAATGTCTCCTGTAAATTGGAAGTGGAGCCGTCTGTGTCCAATGAGAACAATTATATCCTGGTACCTCCGTTGGAGAGTCTGAAAGATGCAGGAGTTAGTATGGAGGAATTATTGGAACAGAGTATGCATAAGATCTCTAAAAATCAAAAGAATAATAGGTGGAAACACAGTTACAAGATGATATTCTTGCGAAAGTGTGTGGCCAATGGTAGCCAGTCAACAGGGGATGAAATCAATCAGAGCACGTCTTCTGAAAACCATGAGCGTATCCCTAAGATGGAGGATTTCACATATGAAAATTCCGGAAAAATTAAAAGGGACCAAAAATGGACGAGGAAATTCAATCCTCTGTCCCTGCATTATACGGATAAAAATAGACCTTATTTAAAATGCTCAGCATGCGGCGCAACCTTCTTCAGTCCGAATACCTACCAAAGGCATCTAATCTCACACATCCATGAAATAACGGAGAGTTACATGTGTAATTTTTGTAATTATACAAACACGGAACTCGGAATGTTATTTGCTCACTTGACCAAGCATCAAAATCAATGTGAATCCTGCAACGAGAATCTGTTGCGCAAGGATAATTATGAAAAGCATCAACGCTCAAGCAGTTCGTTGGAGTTCACATTGAAGCGCGATCATCACGGAATGTTCGTCTGCGCGGTTTGCGAATTAGTGTTCGATCTCTCAGCTCAATTGGAAAAACACTGGTTCAAACATACCTGCAAGAGACGAAAATCCTATCAGTGTAACGAATGTAGCGGTATGTATGAGAATATGGAGACCTTGAAGAATCATATATGCTTGAAGTGTCCCATTTGCGGTGAAGTTTACGAGAGTCTGCACAGATTAAAAACACACACAAGGTGGACGAAGCATAATCTAAAGTGTCCAATCTGCTCCTACGAATTTGTTCTTTCTATGGACCACAAGAAGCATATGGCCCTACACAGAAAGGTTTATCAGCCCATGAAGGATTATATGCACTGTTTGCGCGCGGCTGATGGCAAGACGTTTCAATGCAATCTCTGCGATAAGATATTTTACGCTTTACCTGCCCTTTTTACGCACCTTACGGAAGAGCATGATGTGGGAAACGTGAAAACAGAAGAGGCGATGGAAGATGATAATTATGAACTGAAGGGAGACGCTATTAATATCGTTGTAGTTCCTGATTTTAAAGATACCGTTGATTGTAACTATTTCGACAATTGTGATGACATGGATCCTTTACAACAGGACACCGATCTCTACGATCCATCATAAAATATGATAAGAGAGAGAATATCGATCCGCTTGAACTTAAATTATAAAAATAAAAGCAACATTCTTCTGAGAATTGTTGGTGCTTTTGCTATCGACCAATTTCTCAAGGATTTTCATAATATTGATATTCAAATCGGATTACCAAATGAAAAACTGATACAATTGTAAGTGCCGTTTACAAATTATAGATATGTAACTTATGTATAAAATGCTATTTTTAAAGATGTATTATTTGCTTCAAAGTTTTGATATCAATTTATACAAAATGTTAATTTTACACAGATCGTATATCTTTCTCTTTTTTTTTAAGCAAAATATATTGATGAGAGGATAATTAGACACATATATTTTAGCAATCTCAAAGTAGATGTTAATGAAATAGCCATGAAGTATTCGAAGTAACAGATATCTTCTAATGAAATAACGTGTGTTACTCTACATTGATGCATATTAAAGTTTCATATTATGTAAAGTTCTCTAAAATAGAGAACCCTAGCATATAGACTTTGATTAATAAAATATTCAATACATACTTTAGATGAAATATGTGTAGCATTTTTATTGATCAAAGTTATACATTTGCAGTTACAATTAGATAATTTTACATATAACAGTTTAATATGCATCAGTATGAGAATTCAAATTTGTTACACGTTATTGTCGAAAAATTTAGAAACACAGCTTCAATAAATAATTATTAATATTAGATCAATAAATAATTATTGATACTGTCTTAATCCACTTAATCTACTAAATTTTGGAAACAAAGTTTTAAAATTAATTTTAAAAGCTAATTTTACCAACTCTTTGAAAATTTACTTTTCTTCGGCTAATAATTCATTAGATAGATTTCATTAGAATTTTATATTTTTATATGTATAGAAATTTTTATTTATATATATATAATATATAATTAATAAAATAAAATATATATATAATATATATAATTAAATTTTATATGTATAGAATTATTAATTATTAATTTTATATGTATAGAAATTTTTATTTATATATATATAATATATAATTAATAAAATAAAATATATATATAATATATATAATTAAAAATTTTAATATATGTAAAAATATAAAATTCTAATGAAATTTATCTGAAAATAAAAGTTTTTTTTTTTTAAATAAGTTTCAAATTTTTAGGAATAAAGTATATAACACATAAAAATTTGAAACTTATTTTAAAAAATCTTTTATTTTCTGTGTTTCTAAATTTTCTGATAATAGTGTTTATAAACTCTAAATACAGAATGTTTTAAATTTGTTTGTAAATACATTCCGCTATCACACGTATGTTCTTTTTATGCCAAGGTTACTCGCTCGAAAAATTTACATCACAGATGTAATTAATTTTCTTATAATCCATAAAAAGGTATATTGATCACATTAGGAAAGGGAAGTTAAATCTCATCATATATGTTATGTATCATATATGTCAAGTGATATACGAAGTCTGTAAATAAAGTAATGAGACTTTTTCGAGATGAACTTTTATTTATAATTTAACTATAATTTAACTCTGTCTCCTTCAAAATAGTTTCCTTGGGAAGCCACGAAGCTCACTCTGAGACGTTGTTTCCAGTCTTCATAGCAGTGCTGGAACTCAGAAACCCGAATAGCCTTCAGCTGGTCGGTACAGCCGCTTTTACGTTTTCGGTCGTATCAAAGTGATGTCCTTTGAGATGAGTTTTAAATCTTGGGAAGAGAAAGAAGTCACAGGGACTCAGGTCAGGCGAATACGGGGGCTAGGGGACGACAGAAATGTTTTTCCGTGTTTTCGATTACCGAGTTTTTAGCACGGAAAAACATTTCTGTCGTCCCCTAGCCCCCGTATTCGCCTGACCTGAGTCCCTGTGACTTCATTTTCTTCCCGACATTGAAAACCCATCTCAAAGGACACTTTGATACGACCGAAAACGTAAAAGCGCCTATAACCGAGCTGAAGGCCATTCGGGTTTCTGAGTTCCAGCACTGCTATGAAAACTGGAAACAACGTCTCAGGCGCTGAGTGGCTTCCCAAGAGAACTATTTTGAAGGAGACAGAGTTAAATTATAGTTAAATTATAAATAAAAGTTCATCTCGAAAAAGTCTTATTACTTTATTTACAGACCTCGTTTATATATGTTTATGTAACATCTTTTTTCATGATTATGTTGGAATATATTTAAAAAAGCGATATATTTCGCGAGCTATCAGTCCTGCTGTAGCCTGATTATAGCATCTCGCTACAATATTAATATTGTTAATTTTAATTCGTGAAGTTTGGTACTTCTCTTTGAGAATTCTATGCTCACAATGATTTACGCAGTAACATGACAACACCGGACTAAACACATTGATTGACATTTTTATAACATATAATAAATACTCGAAAACACCTCGCAGGGTCGTATTTACGCGGGTCGTTAAAATTCACTCGTGCGTCAGGAAATATTTTGCAGCGTACGTAAATCTAATGTAGGCCTATAGTATCATGATTCACATCAAGAATTGCAGCTGTTATGTATTCGTTTTGAAAAATAAATGTTCATTATCAAGATTCTCTTTTGTAGATATCACTTTTTTTTTCTTTATATTATATGTATATCAAAGCAGCGCAAGAGTAAAATATCAAATTCTTGTAATCATAGATTAGTATCACTTGATTAAGGTTTGATTTGTTGCAATTTGAGAGAGTAAATATGTGTGAGGGAAGAAAAGCCAAATGCTTGAAAGTTTCCATCTCACAAGAAAACAAGAATTAAGATATTTTTACTGAACACGCAATTATTGTACAATTATATTGTATATCACTTATGTAGATGTACACATAATCGTTGATTGTTCATATAGTTCTCAGTATTTTACAATATGTCTCTCTCTTACAATTAATATGCGCATACACGTCGAGCAATTTTATGTATTATATATAGGCAATAGATATATATTACGCTTTTTATTACGTATATAATTCGTCCGCTTTTATATTTTACTTTTATACTCGAAATCGTCGTTCAGAAATATTGTAAAAATAAAATTGATTTCTCTTGAGATGCTTTTAATTCGTAACTATATAAGTATATATTTCCTGGCCGAAACGTAATCGATTCAAGCCTTTATCCACTGCTCTACGTATTCTAACGCGCCTAGAAGTATCCTTTTCTCCGTGACCCTCAATTGAACGGCCATTTTTTTTATCTGCGGCAATGTGGTCTCCAGTAACTCTAGATCCTCCTGCAATAAAAGACATCTGTATTGACAAAGCACGCGGTCGACACAGCAGGCAGAATAATAATAATGGGACATCGGATTTCACTTTCACCTTCAATGTCGTCGGATAATTAGCGATTAAAAGTTGCAGCCTAGTCAGCAGAAATTTTCTGACATTCTCTTCAACGACCGTCTCCAACGCACAATCCATGTGCTTCAGGTCGAAGACCTTGTCCGAGCGTAACCAATGTGCGAGCTCGGCCTTTCGCATACTGAACACTCGCAGGAAAGCCAATAACGTATCGGAAATGGGCTCTGTTCCCGGCTTTAGCAAAAATTCCCCTACTGATGGCAAACCCAATTTGCTCAATAGCTCTATTCGCTCCTTCTGAAGGGAATCTGCTTTACTAATGCCAAGACGAAGTTTAAAACCGTCCTGTAAAAATTCCAATATACATATATTTGTATATTTATAGAAATTGCATTGCATAATTCGTTATAAATAATTATGTTCGTTCTTAATTACTCATTTCCTGCTTCCTGATATTAATCAAAATATGATTCATAAAAATATAATTAAAGATCCATCATTTATATAATTTTTTTTAAGTTTTCCAAGATTAAATTTAGTATAATTAAAGTTCAATTTTTTATGTTTCTTTTATTATACGTACTTGTTTATTATTCATGTAGACAAAGCCCGAATGCACGAAAAAATCGGAATTTGTCCTTGGGCCATAACTTATGAATACTTGCTCCCCTTTTTTGAAGTCCCTCAACGCGTAGCACTCGCAGTGATCCGATGTCGCGTTGAAATCTGTTGTAATCTACGGCAATGACAAAGAAAATAGTATTAAATCGTCCCACGCGAATTCATTGCCCGTATTATTACTTACCCTGCCGTTCTCGTGATTGCACATATCCCACATCGGGATTAAGGCGTGAATCATGCGCGAGCCGTCTGGGCTCGGAATTAAGTTCTGTCGCGTCATTACTGTTGAAACTGCCCAACTGAAAAAAAAATTTCAATATCAGAGATAAAGAAATCCCAGCTAAAACGCTTTATTAATCAAATAATATTAATATAACAATAGTAATCGGCATATTGGTTTCATTTTATTAGTATTATCAATATATATCAAATTTTTGTCAACAATCGAGAGAAGCTGACAATTTTTAATCCGAGGCCGAGTCTTGATTCGAAGTGAAATCCAGTTATCGACTATCAAAAAGGCAATAATATGGATGCACTCGCGTCAATCTCCGGAGCGTGAAGCGACTTTCGCCTTCGGAGAAGATCGAGGAAGAAAACTGTCAACCCGCCCCAAGCGAGCGGCTATTTTTCGGGCGAGAACTTGACCCAGAAATTCCGGAAATGAGCGTACAGGGAGACACATTATCGTAGTTGCGCCGACAAGGCGTACTTTCTCTCTTTCTGTCCGGAGAAACGCGCGCTTCTCACCATCACCACCGTCATCCACGTGAGAGATCGCGTGTTACTCTCGTTTCATCGAGATTTCATCTTGTATATATGTGTAACAATGGGACCCGCGCATATGTAAACTATCGAGCGATGTGCCGGTTGCGTGATCCGGAGCTCTTCTTCCTCGTAGAACAAATTCAATTCAGTAAACCGTGTCAAGCTGACGCCTGATTATCTATTCGATACAGCCTACTCTCTCAGACGATCTTTCAAATTCATCTCCGATGATTTGGAATTTTTGAGGCGAAATTGTTGCGCTTCTTTTGAAAAAAAGATAATGAAAATTATACTTTATAAATAGTTTAAAGATACACAACTTCGGTAGATCAGAATGATCTGAAAACAAGCTCTTTCAATTCGGGATAGAATTCGATTTAGATTTTATGTGTCGAAGAGATTTGTAAAAATAATAATCAAAATTATATTCTATAAATAGTTTAAAGATATACTATTTCGGTAGATCAGAATGATCTGAAAACAAGCTCTTTCAATTCGAGATAGAATTCGATTTAGATTTTGTGTGTCGAAGAGATTTTATCCCGAATTCTGTCGCGAGAGTTATAGATTGGGATATTAAAGATCAACGAATTCGATTTACGAAAAAGTCAATGACTCTATGCAAAATATTTAGATTCAATTGCGAGATAAATTCAGGATAAAAACAGACTCGCTGTGATGGGTTTTCTATGCGATACCGCAAACTGACACATCCATGCTACTTGGCGAACCGTTACAATCTATTGCATTGCACGCAAAAAATCTAAACGAGTAATCAGTAAATAGAACAATCGTGTCGTAATGACGATAAAAGTGAAATTCAGTAAAAAAAAAAAACGCTCGTAATAATCGTAGAAAATAGGCATCCTCGTTTTAATTTACTTAACGATGAAAAAGAAAAAATATCTGTATAATTGATAGCTGCATTAAATTATCCCTGTAATATTTGAAGTTTATATAGTTTGATAACTTTTCAAAATCGCGTGTAAAGTATACTTTGTACGCGATAGAAAGCCGCACGCGAAATTAATAAACCATCCGCACACGATATTCGATATTTTTATTCATAAAAATAATAATAAAAATGTGATAAATTCGCGACATATAAAGATCATTTTTTTATATTTAATATTAAATATTAATTTTATATTTAATATTAATTATAATATTGAATATATTAATATTAAATATATTAATATATTTAATATTATAATATTAAATATATTAATATTATTTAATATTTAATATTAAAATATTTTATTGCTGGTCAAAACCAGCAATAATATTTCTGATATCAAAACTAGATTTGTGATAATGGTATGAAAGTCCAGATCCGTGAAAGTATGCGCCTCGTATCACGACTTCCTCATGAGCGGAGATCTAGAGAAGAGCTATATCGTGCAGAGAGTAGCGAAGCGCGTTCTCCGATGTTTTCGCTCGAGAAAAGCATCGCTCTTCGCCGACCGTTTCCTCGACGCAACGCTTCCAATCGCTTCGCATTTGAATGTGTGCGTTTGTCGGTGCCATGTGTACCGCATGCTGCGAAAGCGATCGAGCAACGTGATCTTTCGCAGCGCCCGCGTCTGATGATATGATTAACGATAACGCACTAATAACGCTAGTATCTCGCCCGCATCATTTTTAATGCTTGCACGTTTTCTCCTCGCACTGAATTCCAAAATGTAATCAGAATTTTTGTATCGCGTTTAGTTTACGCCTGACAGCTATGACGTTTTGAAATATTCTTTTCAATAATATTTTTGAATTATTTTTATCAAGATTATATATATTTTATATTGATAATTTTTCAATTGCTTGTTACCAAATTGTGATATTTTAAAGTAAAATCCGAATACAGATAATTAGTATGTAAACTTGCATGTATAATCTGCATGTGCAAAGGATTGGCTCAAGATTGCTCAAGTTCTCATAATGAGAATTTTTAACGAGCATATAAACATATATATTTTTCTCATAATACAATAAAGTATCTTTCTAATGGCGTATAATACGGCTAACTGGGACAGGAATTATACGGATTCCCGCATTAGAAATCTTTAAGTGTTAATGCAACGTTTTGCGGTTATCATTAATCATCATGAATTTAACATGTGAATACAATATCCATAATGACATTTATATAGCAATATAAAATAAATTCAACAAAAAATATAAATTAGATTCCTATAAAAATCAGATATGCATGACTTATATAAAAGATCAATATTTTCTATACGTCTTCTTTCATAATGTTCGAATAAGCAAAATGATATTTTAATGCAATGATATCATAAATGCAGCACAAATGGATGCAACATGAATTAACATTAATGAACATCTTAAATAATAATTAAAATAATTAACATCTCAAAGTGAGAAAGAGATTCATTATTCAGTGTATCACATTTCTTCATATTGAAACATCAGATTGGAAAGTTTTGCCGGTCAGAGAATTCTGACACTCTCGCGCGCTAATATCATCCTTGTGGGTTAAGAGAACACGAAGTTTCATTAGATGCACGGTAAGGCGATCGCTATTATTTTCAACATGAAACCGAGATCGGTTCAGTCGATCGATCCTTTCGACTAAGCACAACGCGCTCGCTTATCCCGTAGAAAGTGTGCATAGAGAAGATCTCCGATTCATCATTCGATCTTCCCACGAGTACGCTCGAATGTGTATCCATTCTCCGTGTGTGTTGGCAAAGCTCATTTCAAACGATCTACATGTGCAATTGAAACTTATTCCCAACTCATCTTGAATCTATAATTAAAATAAATAAAACTAATTATAGAGCATTTTCACCTAATAATAAATAATGTATAATTTTGCTTCGAGGTTTTACTTTCTTTTATTTATTTATTAATATATTATAGCACTATATTTTATGTTATGGGAAAAATTTTAATAAATATATTAAATATAAATATGTAATAATTAATAATTAATAAATATAATAAATATTAATACAAATATATTAAATTATATAATATATAAAATTAATAATAATTATAAAATGTTTTACTGTGTATCGTAGATCGTCTAAGACAAGTTTAAAGCACTGCAGTCAACTTTCAATATCCATCTGCATCTCAGCAAAAGACTACATCGTCATTATTATCCTCGTCAACTGCTGTTCATTAACGATGAGCTCATGACAATCATTTTCATCAGCCTCATCCTGCGCATCCAATGCATAATCAATACTCGATACAAATTTTTTGCGAGATTTCGCACGCGAGTTATTTGGAGAGATAAAAAATTGCTAATTCGCGATCCATTTAGAATTTGTTACATGATCTTTTGTATTTTATCAGAACTCTTGAAAAAATATAAATTATTAATTATATATACTCTAATAATGTACTGTCTCCACGTAAAATATAACGGTAGAAAAATATAGTAAATTAAATAAAAATGTTAAATAAAAAAAAAAGAAAAAATGATAATTAACACAAAATAGTTTAAACACTAAACTTTTGTTGATACCATAAAGTTACTGTTTTCAAGACATGATGTCTTGAATAATGTCATAATTTTCAGAAAATTATTATACATTACGCTCAGTTTCTTTGAATAAATTTGTCTCACTTTAAAAAGAGAGGAGAAAGGAAGAGAAATCATGGCTAATATAAACATTATCTACGTAAATTACGCGTAAAAAGATAGTTTACATAGCTTCGTCGTGCTATTGTTATAAATGTTTGACACAGTTTTCTACTTTATGTTCATTTGCTGCATCGTAATTGGTGACGTATATATGTCACGGTATAAAAATATATGTTGCAGCGTGCGTAATACTTTGCTCTTATAATGTTTAATATTGATATAGGATGTTCATATTTAAAAAGCAATTCAAAAAGTAATAAGCATTTTGTACGCATTGTATAATATTATCATGGTGGGGAATCAATATTTACAATTCACAGTTTATTAGCGTATTCCTAAAAACGAGCATAAACGTTAAGAGCCACTAAAGTTCCGCCGCAAGTGCGAGTTCTTCCTCGCAATTAAAGATTCACAAGTGACAGCTACACGAACATGGGATTTGCGTTAAAAGGATTTTCGCTTCGAGTGTTTGAATTTCCTTTCCTTCGCCACTCGATGCGACCTTACTATCGGATTCTACGAACAGCTAATTATAGTAAATATGCAAATAACCGATATCTTATAGTGCATAAATTAACAACCTATCAATTTCTAGTGATCGCACGTATTCATAATCATGTGTGATTATGTTTTTTATATTGCCATGTATTCCATGAGAGATTTTTTATCGTAGACTTAACGATTGCATTTTTTTCTTCTCTTATTACTAATGAAACATATTAATAGATACACGACTAAAAAGAACAGGTAATCAATTGATAATGTTCTATATTTTAATAGAACTTAATATTTTATCACGTCTAAAATATCCTACTTTATATTCTCCAGAATGTGCTACTTTCTCCAGCATTATTTTTTTCTTTCTAAAAGATGTCGAAGACCATCGGTGTCGAAGGTAGAACCTTCCACCATCACGTTTTTTTTAATTTGGGTAAAGCCACGTGCAGGGAAGATTTTTCGTGGATTCAAATGTTATCCAATCGAATCGATCTGTACAGGATTCATGTATCCGTATCGGATTCATCTCGGTTCCGGAGAGCATCTTGTCGAGAGCGGGCGAATAGTAGTAGTAGAAGAATCCGCGGTATAAGACTCTACTCCTCTCGCGAGTTTCACCGACTTACTTAGGAGCGCGCTTGGAGAAAAGCGACGTCAGTTCGCAGAGGCGATTTGCCGAGAACGTAAAAGGAACGCGAGCGCGAACGCGAAAGTTTCATACCCGAATGTGACATACGAGCGGTTCCTCTCTTTCGCATCGAAAATGGAAAACGCATCCGCCGATCGATCGCGACGTTTTTCGCGCGGTGATCGACAGAAAACTCTCATGATCTGAGAATAAAAAAAAGAAGGAATAAAGCGAGAGGAAGCAGAACAATATTCCTGGTTCTCGAAGTTTCTTCATTCAAATATTGCTGACAAATAAGAGTGACATGTGATGGATTAAAAACACTCTGATACAAGCTGAGATAAGCTCGGACTAATTAATAATTATCTCAATGTACGACAAGAAGAGAGTAGAGTTTGTCCCATCGGCTATTTTTGGGTAAATTTCGATATTAATTCAACGGAGATCGGGTATTAAGTTGGCCTGTATGATTCTTGAGGAGGTCCTAGGTTTGTGCAATAGAAAAAACGTGATCTTTGTGATTCTGTGCGCCGCAGTCATTTACGTGCACCTCATCGACAAGAACGAGACAAAGTGTCGGAGAGGATCGCGGTGTCCCGACGACGAGGAGGCATCGAGGTTCCTGATCGCATTGCAACTATGCGGAAGGCGGTTTCCGTGCTCGCGCTAATCGCATTCGCGTGTGACATCTTGCGCGATCCCCTGGTCCATGGCGACCCCGCTGGGAATCCGGAAGTTGCGGGAAGAAGCGATGATTACGAGTATCAGGTAACCGTGAAAAGCGTCGTTCCGACACCTCGACACACGAAATGCCCCGAACAAATTTACTTCGATCTACATTTCTCGATCTTCTATCCAGTTCTCGTCAATCTAAAAAGAAACTACCCATGAATTAATAAAGTCTCAATTTAAAAAATTGAATTTGCTATAAAATTAAGCAATTAATATTAATAAATTAATATTGATAAAAAACAATTTATTACTACATATAATATAAAAATTTTTATATCTCTTTTAAATACCTTTATGTATTCTTTTTAAAACAGCGATTTATACATTAGAAAATAATATTAAATAATCATTATTGAAAATTTTACAATAATTTCAACGCGAAGCGTATATTTATAAAGTAACATTTCGCGGTTTAGACGCAGAGAAAATTAATGATATATTATCGATGCCGAAAGTTGTTCCTCCGATACTTTTAACCGGTCGTGTTTTTTTTTTCCTCGCAAAAACTGGCACTGATTGCGAAATTCCACAACATTTCTGCGGCAAGAACACTCGTCCTACACAAAAATATAATATGTCACAGTATGATTTTAGCTCGGGCAGAGAATATATCCACGCACGTCAGACCTCTCGATTACGAAATGATTGTGACGTTCACGGGTGACAGGTCCAAGTTCCGTGGTAATTGCATTCATTAAGTGTCATTAAACTCAAGTGATTCAAGTTAAGTGCAGGAAATTAAGAATATTTTTTAATTCCGTCTTTTCAAAGTCATGTCAGAGCGATAAAAATTTAGCAGGATTTTTCATAACAGCATATTAGTATTTATTCATAAATAATTAATTATAAATGATAAAATTAATATTTCAAGATATCTTATAAATACTATATTCATTATTTTTCACACTTTTCAATAAAAAAGCTTTGTAACGTAAATTACAATTTTCAAAATATTTTATCCTTCTTTCAATTCAAATGAACAAATTGATAAATTAAAAAAAAAATTTTTTTAAATCTTAGCAAGCTAAAATAAAATCAACTGAAACTTAAATTGCTAAAATTGCGTTCCGATCTCTTGTCACGAAAATTATCGATATACCGCAATAAAAAAAAACAATCATATTCTCAATCTGCGTCTAGTTTATTATAATTGAGAGAAAGTGTGAATTCTGCGTATCCGCTTGTTTCTTATGATTGCCATTATATTCCGCGCATCGAAATCGACTCTAAAATTGCTGTATCGGAACGCTTTTCCTTCAGAATTTTTCGTCGATGCACAGAGCCGCGAAATCGACGCACCGAGACGAGAAAATTGATGCGTAAACCGCGAGAGAAAGAGAAAGCTACGCAGAAAGTCCGCAGATCTTTTATGAGAATTTTATCGTGTTATTTCCACGTATCTTTTATTATCAGAATCTGATAGGGAAAACGCGCGAAGAACAAAATCTTATGTCCATATATAACCATACGTAATCCGGTGAATGTATTCTTTGAAAAGAGAGAGGCGGAAAATGCACGTATATATAAAAAGCACCGGTTTTATGTATATATTCTAAAGGACTCTTAACAGAATAATATACAACTGCATGTAAATTGAATAATGATGTGTCGTAGAATAAAAAATAAAAAATAAATAAATTGAATTCGCGCAAAATACACGAGCCGCCGATATTAGTGTCAAGAATGATGAATGTAAAAGTAAACGCGTAGCTTCTTCGATAATCGACGAACGAACAAAATACGGCGAGTCATTTCCTTTACTCACGCGAGAATAATTGTAAATGATTTCCCACGTGATTCGCAAATATATGCGAAATTGGACCGTGGAAAATGGGAACGCGCGCGCGTGCGGTCCTTTTCATGCCGAGAAAGCGAAGTGAAAATCAACCGCGAAAGCACGGAATCTCTTGTATTAATGAAGTTACGAAATGTTTTAATATATATAACGATAACGAATCAATTGAATATAATAATCCCTTACGCAACGCCACAATGGCTCACTTATCCTCGATCTATTATTTGCCTCTAATGCACTGATGCTTTAACAACGTAACGAATCATCTCGATAATGAGGATATTGTGAGGCAAAATAATTTTTCATCTTATTTTGTGCATATATATTTAATAAATAAATAATCTCTCAATTGCAAAAATTTCAGTAGATTAAATAAATTAGAATAAAAATAAATAAAAACATGTCTATAAAAAAATTATTAAATTATTAAATTAAATTATTTTGCTCGTCATAAGAGCAAGGAACGATTTAATCTATCTCTGTACATAATTCTGGTGACGAATTAACTTGTACAGAAGATTCGTTTTATAGAAAACGAGAACGGAAAAACATCTTCTAGCGAAGAATCGCATTCGGCTCCTTATTTCGCACGTTCTCACGCGCGCGCGTCCGGTTTGCGAAAGTAAAAGCGAGAAATCACCGAATCTCCTTTCAACATGCCGTTTGAAGAAGATCCTGACGAATAATCGAGAGATACATGCGCAAGATCCAGTGCTCGCGACGCGTACTTCCGTGAATTAATTCAAGAATCATCGTTTGCGACAAAAATAACAAATATAAACAATATTCCCAATTTGTGTGTATCTTTTCAATCTAATACATCTCATAAAAGTTTACTTCCTTTCATTGATTGTTGCGAAATATATCAATTTACACAAATAATTGTTAAGATAAAAATAAAAAATTAATAATCATTCTTATGTGAACATATTTTTCCATGTCATAATAAATATACATAAATAAATTAGTATCTAAAATTGGTATATTTAATTTGTACGAAATATATACGAAACGTTAAGTTAGATTATATATCTGCATCATCGTTAATTAATAAAGAGAAACCTATTAAATAAATTTCATTTTAGCAGAATTTTAATGCGAATATTGCGACTTTGTTAAAAAATAATATATTTTTCAGCGACTTTGTTAAAAAATAATATATTTTTCAGCGGGATATTGGATTTTCAATTTATATAAATATACAATATTTATTATACAAAGCGCGTGGCAAATGTCTCTTGCAATACTTTCTATCGTTACGGCCGTTAGCTTTAACTGTTACCCGCAACCGCATGGCTCGTTTAACAATAATTTCCCGCGTGACTTGTAACGAATTGTAATTTGCCAAAGTTTAACTTTATCTTCGCAAATTATTTCAAACGCGCAGCAATGTTAATTTCATAAAAATTTCCCAGAACAACGGATTAATTCTTCAAACGTGATAATTAAATATTATAAAATATATCACACAAGGAAATAAAAAGTACTAGTTAATAGTTAAAAAAATATAATAAAATATAATATAAATTTCCCAGAACAACGGATTAATTCTTCAAACGTGATAATTAAATATTATAAAATATATCACACAAGGAAATAAAAAGTATTAAATAGTTTAAAAAATATATCAATTTACACAAATAATTATTCAGATAGAAATAAAAAATTAATAATCATTCCTATGTGAAAACATATTTTTCCAATATCATTAAAATAAAAAATAATAATCATTCCTATGTGAAAACATATTCTTCCAATGTCATTCAAATATACATGCTAGATAAATTGGTATCTAAAATTGATATATTTAATTTATATGCGAAAAGTTAATTTACATTATAACCGCATTCATATATCGCTAATGAATAAAAAGAAATCTATTGAATAAATATTAGTCATTAGAGGAGAATTTCTAATTTTTTCAGAAGGAACTGAATGGACGGTTCGACGAGGCGGAAGTACCGCGAAGATCCGTGGAGGATCACGAGCGAAGTCCGAGCGAACCCGTAGGTAGATGGAGAAATAACGGCGAGGCTCTCGAGCCAAAGTGGCGAGACGGCGATTACATACCCCTTCTGCCATTCTCCCATTACCGGTCCTACACAAGGGACGAGGTCGATGACGCCGAGGACTTCTCCGAAATGAGTCGTCGACCGTTCAAGTATCGTTATTCGATCGATCAATCGAATCGTCCTCGAGGAAGTCCAGACAGACGAGGCGTTCCTTCTCCAGGCGACTACGAAGAAGCGACGACGTATCGAGGTCACGAGAAACAACATTCTTCATCGAAAAATCCGCGCGACAGTTTGACGCTTGATGAGGAAACCATCGAGAGCAACGATGGCAAGCGCAGCCGCGACATCGTCGACGACAGGAAAGTCACCTCGAGATATCGCGAGGCCTTCCAGGCTCGACCCGACGAGTACGAATTCGATGACGAGGAATACACGAAGCCTCGGCCAAGGAAAAGGAGACCGCCGCAGAATTACGAGTTCGCTCTGGCGAACGAAGCATCTTCCAGTGAGGAAAACGAAGAATCGAGGGAGTCTTCTCGACTTCCGTCGTCGCCAAACGGCAGTGAGAATCCCCCAGTAATAACGCGATCGTTTGACAACGAACGAGAAACTTCGCTCGAGCTGAAATCACTCTTGAAGATGCAGCAAGAGGAGGGCTCCAGTCTGTCAGAGATTCTGCAACGCCGCAATTTGAGCTTGAGCGATCTGCTGAAGGGCAAGGCTGACGTGATCAACGCTCTAAAGTCGAGAATCGCCGATGAGTCTGATGAGTACATCGAGGAGATGTCGAGAGTCATGTCCAATTCGTTAATAAAGCTCGCTGCAACAGTAACACCATCTTGGAGATCCACGATTGAAAGTAGCACTAGAAAAATTACGGCGGCTTCAAATACCTCAGATAATTCCATATCCAGGATAATGATCGTCCCGCATCAAGTTTCAGAGAACTATGATGAATTATCTTCAAACGACACGAATCGGGTTAAAGAAGAATCGAAGGATGCCGAGGATATCGCAACGCAATTTGTCCGCGATTCTTTGCGGCGAAGAACGGCTTCGACAACTCCTCCGATCGTCTCGACGATGATTACCACGTCGCCACCGGTTGCGGTGAACTCCATGGAATACTTTCTAAACGATGATGGCAACGCGGGATCGACGAGCGATCGCGTGGCGAAATTCGAGAATCTTGACGAGGACGAGATCATGGAGTTCTCGGACTTCACAGACTTCAAGAAGGGGAAGAGCCAGGCGAGCGAGAGAATCTCGCAACCACTTCGCGATATCGAGTCCACCTTGAGCATCGAACAAATTCTCAATCCCACGGAGCGCATCGAGCCCGCGCGATATCGCGAGAGCGATCAAGAGGGCAACACTGAAAGCAATAAAAAAATTATTCAGGATAACAGTCAATCAATTCCTATTGGCGAATCAGCGGAGGATTACAACATGTTTATCGAAGCCGAATATCAGAACGATGCCCCGATCCCTGAAGAAGATCATGGAAAAGAGAATAAAGTGGAGAGAAATCCAAGCGCTAGTCAAACTGATGCTATCATGAGCCCAGTTGAAAAGCAACAAACCGCAAATCTAGATGATGATATAAAGAAACTGTACGATAAGAATGACTCCGAGCATCATCAGATGACCCGATTGCCAATGGAAAAGACTCGCAATGAAAGTGATCACACGAGTCTAAAGAATCATCAAGGTGTAGGCAACAGACACTATGAGGAAGTCGTTTCCGAGGTCGAGCCGGAGGCACGAGCAGAGATTTTCGAGCTATTCGCGTCTGGCTCAGCCGGCAAACGATTGGAGCGGCTTTTAAAATCGAGAAACATGAGCGTGGAAGAGTTGATAGCACTACGTCAAAGAGGATCCAGCAAGGTACACTTGACAGAAGTGTCACGATTGAGAATAACTAAACCGCAGAACAATCTTCAGACCTTGGAAACCTCCAATACAAATAATGAAAAGATTATCATGCAGCTCTCACCTGGCGATTCCAATAGACGTGTCAGTGAAGATAAGATCTCCGGAAAGGAAGGCGCGAAGCAAGAGGAAGCGGAAGAGTTGATGACTCAAGTCATTAAGCAAGATACAAGCTATCCGTTTTTCAACAAGAATGTGGAGAACATGTCGAGGTTGCTGGATTACATCGAGCGTGACAAGAACGCATCGAAGGGAACGTTTCCTGAAAATGATACATTAGATGAACATGACGAATTGCAGAATTCCCGTCGAACGGAAGAAATCGTCGATTTATTCACGACATTCAATTCTCTTCCTTTCGTAAAGGACGTGCAGCGACAGTTTGGTACAGTGGAACTTGATACCAACAAATTTAAAAATAAACTTCCGATAAACAACGATAACGCGAGCGTAGTGTTAGTCGACGAAGAAACGACGGTCGTTGGAGCAGATAACTCTTCTAGCCAATTCCATTCCGGATACGTGAAAGAAGTCGTGCGGGAAAAATCGAACGTCATCGATATAAAAACGATTTACGGAGAAGGGATGAACGACGGGGAAGAGAGAAAGACCCTGTCACAGATGAAGCCAAGCATAATAGCGAGTGGCGCGATATTGGGCGTGACGATCGTCGTGTTCCTGGCAATCTTCATCACTTGCCGGATTCGGCAGAAGCAGAAATACACGTACAGAAACACATTCTCCCGCGCGGTATTCCAGAACCCGGTTATGGTGGCGAGAAAGCTGTCGAATTCCAGCAGCTTGAGCACCGTGATGGTAAATGTCGTCGCGACGTCGACGACCAAGAGGCCCGAGAGAACGGAAATGCAGGAGACCGTAGAGGAGTTTGATGGCAAAAGTGATATGGACAACGATTCCTTGGACGGGAACGACAGCTGGGAGACGATACCTGATTACGTGAAATAATTCGTTACCGGCACAATCGATCAGTCTATCAGTTTGATGCAGAAACATTTTTGTCGCGTTTATCAAATAATATTAAAAACGATATCCACTTTTAAATGTAATTTTTTTATTTTGTAATAATTTTTATTTTAAACGATGTAATATTATCATCATTGAAATTCTCAATACATGTTCCATATTTGTTATTAAATATTTTTCAATTTTTTTTAATACTTATATTTAATGAAATAAGATTTAACAAAAAGGTGTCAACAAAATCTCTTTGCATCAATCTAATAGAAAACCACCAGTATTTTCGCTTATCAAGAATAATACCATAAAGGCTGATTGAATATCCTTAGCGAGCACTTTGAAGCACCATATTGATTAAATTAGTTGTGATATTTTATCGACAAAGGATTAAAATAGTTCCATAAATGTATATATTTTTCTAAATTAGCTTAAATTGGCCAGTAAAAAGTTATGGAACAAAATTGTAATTAAAATATGTAATTAAATTGTCTAAATAATATTTATCATCATGGTGCAAATGATTCATTGCAAATAATCGAGCTAAATCTAATGTGACTTTATTATTAAATTGATAGATAAGTTATATTTTGCTTAGAGAAAACTTCCATATAGAATAAGATATATTTATTTATAGATTTATATATATATATTGTATAAGTATTTTATATATATAAAATTTTATATATATAAATTTTATTCGTTTCTTTTTTATTTGTTTCATAATTACCTTCCTCATTTTAAAAATTCGATAATGCAATTGTTTTAATTACTCACCAGTATTTTTCATAGGTGAAAACATCCCTGAGTATCGCTGAAACGGCGTTATTGTTATTTTGAAACACTCTGTTAAAGTAGGAATACTGCCTTGCGATATTTCGACATTGCTTCAATGCAGCTTCTGCACAAAAATAAAATTAATCTAAGAAGATAAAAACAAATGTTTCAATTAAAGATTAAAAGATAAATTTATCTGAATATATAATTAATATAAGATTAAAATCATTATTCTTTATATATCTATTAATGATACATGAATGAGAAAGCACAAATTTATCTTTAAGCTAAATTTTTTTTGTTTAAGATAATAGAGTGAAAAGTAAAGAACTTTCTAAATAAATGATTTTTCTCTACCTAATGTGGGACTGCCTTTGAGCTCAATCATATCATTGGCTTTCATGTATAAAACTGTGTTATAACCGCTAGGAAGCATATCCAGGTAACATTCCCACTTGGAGTTCTCCTTGTGCCTCTCTATGAGAAGCGCTATCGCCAATGCCACTTGTGGCATATGCTGTACTAGTGGATCATTTTGCAGAACTGTCAGTTCCGGTGCTGCGGTGTACGTGCTGAAGATGATAGCCCTCGGTATTTCTAGCATCAACTGATTCTCAGCAAAGTCAGTCTCCGCTTTCAATCCCAGATCGTATCCTGGAAATTCGGCGATGCTCACGCCGTCCACGTGTGCCCCATTTTCTGTGAGCCAATTCATAAATTGTCCAATCCCCTGGGATCGCTGGGACGATTCTGTCTTCATCTCCTCCAGACGTTTAACCTTCAGCAGAACTTCCGATATATCCAAGTAGTTGTTCCATAATTGTGTCACGTACGCTGGATTGCTGCTTACTGCAATGCCCAAAATAGCAAGTGAAAACAAACAATTTTCCCACAACAGAAAAGTGGCAGAGGAATAGAGTCCAATACAAAGTCTTATACAAAAGTAGCAGAGGAATAGAGTCCAATACAAAGTCTTATACAAAATAACAGAGGAATAGTCATATATATAGGAACAAAGTATGAAATAACCATAAAATACAACAAACTGTCGCGCATGTATTATATCATTAATATCCCATCGTTTCCTACATTTTAGCATAAAACATTCAAAAATACATACACATTCATTTATTATCAAATTGCTACAATACTTTTCTTACTCTGTTCCAAGCATGGGGAGGCTCTTTCCTCTGACGCGCCGACAACGCATCACACAAGGAGAAGATGAAACGCATGAAAATACTCACGATGAAAGAGTTTCTCGCACAAGGCATTGAGCTCGTTCCTCTTCGCCGCGGATATGTGCTTCTGCTGCGATGATGGACCGTGTTGTTTACCTTTTGCGTGAGCCTTTCTTCTGCCCATTTTTGTCTACTATCTCACGGCGCTCTCGTCAAGGCTCGCCGTCGTTCTCCGACACATTATAATGCGTAACGCGCGGCGCCTATGACGACTGGCAAGAATAAACACTCCTTCGCCGCAACGAAAATAGCACGCACGGGCCACCCGTATGACGCGGGTGTCGAAATACGGGCGACATAACCTAGAAAGCGCGGGAGCCGCGCTTCCCGTTTCCTCGACTCTCCTCCCGCGCCGCACTTTATTGATTTTCCCACTTCTGTCAGATGGGGAAGGGGGTAGGTCACCTACTTTCCCGTAACTCCTATACACTTCTCAAACTTTATGCTGGATTTTCATTATTTTTATTTTCGAATTACTGCCGCGCCGAGCAATAAATGAAGCGTTTATTCCGAGATGACATATCCATCGCCGATAGCTTTTCCGTGACTAACATGCATACCAGAAATTCGTAATCATGTATAAGAGATGTTATCTATATATAAAATCTTAAATTAAATTTATATATATATATAGATGCGAAAGATAATTTAGCTTGTCTTATAATCTCTAGATAACACTTCTAACTTCTAGTTTCGTTATTTTCATACATATATTTCATGTTTTTTTTTTTATATATTAATTTAGTATGTTAATTATGAATAAAAACAAAACGATACGAGTTATACTTTAAATAAATTTCTTTGTGTGTATTGCGATCTGTACCTTGTAAATTGTATGGACTCGTCTTTATATATATATATAATGTATGTAAATATTATATACAAAATAAGTGAAAATTGGTGAAATTATTACATGTATCGTTATTAAATAATATCATAATTTGTTGTTCTTTTTCAGGTTAAAATTACATTGGAAATGAAAACTGTGCAACAAACAATTATAAAAGATAATAAGCTGTGTGAACATTGTACATATATATATAACTAATCTATAAAAAAGAAAGTACATACAATATGTTTGCAAAAATATGCGTATCTGAAATATTTTATAAACTATGTATATATTTCTTTCTTCGTCTCTGCTCTCTCCCGTCAATCGATCAACATGTATTTAAAAAAAAAAAAGAGAAAGATAATGTGCGCACAGCAGATTGAGATGTGCGTATCTTTAACATTCAATGTGCACAAGTATATTCATATGAGACTCATCTTTTGTTATACGTGTAAAAAAATTTGTTAATCGGAAACATAAAATCCGCTTAATAAATTATCGATGTATAACAAAACATAGCACGATAAAACGTAGCAAATATGTGAATTTTCACGCTGCAAAGTAAAAAAAAAAACTTTTATAAGCATTTTGCAAAATATTAATGATATATATATATATATATAAAATAAACAAAAAATATATATATATAATAAATAAAATATATATATATATATTTTTTTTTATTTATTTATTTATATATATGTGCGTGTATGTGTGTGTGTATGCTAAAATATATAATAAAATCCAGAAAAATAAAAAGTTATGATATAGAAACATATAAGTATATGCTATGTAGGGTTTGTCCGCAAAATAAATTACGGTAACGTTGCTTAAAATAATTTTAATGTATCTAATTTGTATTACTTAAAATGTAATTTTAGCATATCTCTAACATTTTTTTTCTTATCTCATAGTATAAAATATAAATCTGTGTATTCTTCCGATATATATATATATTTTTTTTTTCTTTCAGAAGTGTCTCAGGGTTATAGAAGTAAAGAAACAAATTGTGCCTTATTAAAAGGAATATAGACACAGTCATTATTGAAAACTTACAGTTATACGCATTTTGTACTCGGTACATATCGATCGATGAATGTCTTCATAACGTTATGTTTGATTATGCGTTTGTGTGCAATAAAATAATAAGTATATTACACATTCTACACGATACTACCTACAGTTTTGCCGTAATAAATTTCTTTGCAGCGGAAAACTCGTACCCTAAATATATACTAAAGATACAGATACAGTCACAAGTATATGTATATGGTACTTTTTTACAGTCTAACTTCTAGATAGAGCCGTATATATATAGACCACACGATTTTACACTTTCTGTTACTCCAATTGAAATTCGACATTACATATTGTAAAGTTATAAATCTAACTAATCTTTCGATTCAGGATACTGTTTCGCAAGTATCCTAAAGAAAAAAGGAAAAAAAATCTAATGCATCAACAAGAAAGTTGAAGAAACAATTCATTTCACTCCTAACATTTTTTTTTCTTACAGATAAGCCATACAGTACTGTTTTGTATTAACTTCTTATCACATAAGAATCTAAAAAGTTTACTATGTAATCTTGTCGGATTACTTACTTTCAACGCAGGTACACATCACAGCAATTTCGATAAAATACAGATCTATACCATTTCCTCTCTCTTTCGTACATGAAACAGTAAAATTGTAATATATAAAAGTCAAAATTTTATTTGATTAAATTAATCCACACAAAGATAGCAAAACGTGTCATATCATGTTTACTTCATAGCAAAGATGAACGCGTGCGATACGCATACATGGTCCCGCGTATTTATCACAAAAGCATTAAATATACCATAATGACTCTCATCGCTGTACAGTGTGTACCGATACGTTGTAAAGAGTTATTAATCGTTGAAGATTTTATAAAACAGACATGGTACATAAATATATAAGTTATTTTCCATTCAAAAATTGGAGAACAGACATTATATAGATATATAATTTTACAAAATTTTTCGAATTTTTCATATATTTCTTAATGTCTGTTCGCTTCATCCAACTTTTCGTATCACTGCATCCACTTCTATTGCGCCGCGGTATCTAAAATGCTTTGCCGCCATGTGGCGTGAAAAGGAATTTTCAAGATCTTAACTCGTGTCCTGGGCAACACAGTTAAAAGAAGTTTTTGTAATTGTGGTAACGGTAAGATGTCGACTTGCGGGTTTGCCTGATGCGGCTGTTGTCTATCGTTTTCTGCAAAATAATCAAATAACGATTCATTATGTATATGTAGTAAGATAAAAGACATTAATGAAAATATACATTAATTTCTCTCGAGATAATTAAAATTAATAAATCAATATACCTGTTTGGTTTATTTCATTTTCGTCTTCAACATCTGCGATTAATCGTAAGCAGGGGACCGGTTTTAAAACTGGTATAGAATCTCCAGTAACCTGTTTATTCATAAGATTGCACTGATCAACAAATAGTTCTGTAACCCTGAGCAATTCAAGGGTAACACCCCATATGAAATGTGTCAGGTTGTTTGACAATTCTGTGACGCCTCTGAGTACCATATTATTAGTTGTTGCCGATTGGGATATGTAAGTTGGTATGATTAGTAACCTCTTGATGTTTTTACAATTAGCAAGACACTTGTCAAACCCATTCTTCACATCAAAATTGACCAATTCCAGCTGACAGAGATTTTCCATTTTTGATATACCTTCAAGAATGTCAAATGTACAACAGGATCCTTGACCCTTTTCAAGTCTGAGGCGTTCCAATTTATTTAATTTTATTAAAACATTAGTTCCAAACTTGTCAGGAAAATCAGAACATTCACCCAATTCTAATGTCTCTAGATTTGTCAATACTTGTATAACATCGATTTTCTTCTTTCCAAGTTCTTTAACTGATGTCAAACTCTGTACATAACAAGAGAAATAATATGTATTATATATAAAATATATATAAATGTTTCAATAAAAATTACATCAAATATGAAGCCTCACCAGTTGCGTCAAATGTATTAAATTTTGTAGAGGTGTAAGATCTTGTTGCAATGACATCCCGCTTATTGCTTTGAGTCTGATTTCTTGGCACCGACTTAGGTTCCCAATCGATTCCAAGTTGAGAGAATCACACTTAATCGACATTGCACTCAGTACCTCCAACTGAGGACAGCTCTTAATAACTTCTTCGACCACCATAACGGGACATCTACATAGCTCGAGCTTGACGAGACTGGTCACTCGCGGAACAATAGTCAAAAACTTTCTCCAAACGTTGTCAGATTCACCAGCGACTAACATTTTTCTAAGATCTAGGTGTTGTGTACCGCGTCTCTGTAATGTTTCCGCTAGACCGTCCCAATCAGTAACCTGGCTATTCTTCATACGCACTGTCTTCCACAGAGATGGATGAGCTGCGAGATCATGCCACATCTTGCAAACTCGTGCAGCCCGCAGCAGTTCTTGTACCTTAAGATATTGGAAAATACGCAATAGGGCGTGGTAACCAGCGCAAACTGAACTCATAAAATTTTGCTGCTGTTCCATTTCCTGCTGGTTTTGCTTCCTCCTGAAAATATCGAAAGAAGAAAACGTACAATTTAAAAGAATGCTCGATCTCACATCATAAATAATTTATTTATTTGTGTTATAACGACAAAAGTTTATTTTTAAGAAGATTTTTAAAGGCGCAATTAGAAAAATTATATCTGTTAGTGCAGTTACATCTGATAGTACAATTTTCGGTATTGCCTTTAAAAGCCTCCGAAAAAATAATTCCTGATTGAAAATTTATATGTTCCTATCAACAAAGTAGTAAGGTTTAAAACAAAGAAATAAATATAAAAATATAAAAATGAATGTAGGATTGCAGGACGAAAAGGATTGTGAAAATTTATAGGAAAACGCACTAAGAGTTTTTGTGTTTCAGCTCGCACACATGTCTTTATATCTGCAAATATAAAAAGTAAAAATGAATTAGATTTTTTCCACTGAAGCACTTATCAGTAGCTTTATTTGTAATTGCAGCATGAATGTAAACATTTATATATAAATGTGCATTTTAATAGTAAACTGCGGGCGCGCGAGAATTAATTTACTTTAATACTACAATTACAAAAAAATACCGTCAGAATCAACAGGTGCACATGTTATTTATCTTTCATATTTGTTGAAAATTTGGCCGCATTTCTAAGAAGCTAAGGCAGTGTGCTTCGATCATAAGACAAAATCAAATTCATTTTTAACATATTCGAGATTTTCATATTTCCAAATATAACAAACATATCAGTATATATTGCATTTACAATTTTATATATTTTTGCACGTTTATAAAATTTATAATGAAATGTGTTGCTATAAAACGTAAAATCTATAATGTATAATTAAGCTAAAAATAAAAGAGAATATAAGAAAGTTTTATATAATTTTTATCGAGCATTTAGAAGCATGTGTGGATTATTATAGAAAGAGTATTTATAAACTTTGTAAATACAATATGTACAAAGCAACTGCCAAAACCTCAAAAGAGAGTTGCCTTAACTTAAATTACTTGGAAAAAGCATCTTAAATAAGGGACAAAATATAAAAATGCCTACGTGTTTCGAGGATTTACACTTACTTGCTGTTGTTTTTAATTTTTGTTACTGTACCCACTTTACTTGATAACGATTGTCGACGAGCTGCTTTAATTGGTTCAGACTTTGTTTCAAGAGTATCTGTAGTATCTGTTGTATGTACTGGTATAGGTGCAGATTTATCGGATAATCTATGATCTATATCTGTTTTTTTCTTTTCAGGTTTTTTCTCTTCAGGCACATAATCTATGTCGGCAGTAAAAGATTTATTTTCTAATATTTTCTCAACTGCTTTATCTTCCTTAGGAATATCTTTACTATCTTTATTATTTTTATTATCTAATGTCTCTGTTATCTCAGTGGTGACTGAAGGTGCAAGGTCTACTAGATGTGCTGTATCTTTTGAAATATCTTTATCAGGCGTAACATTTACTTTTTCCGGTAGATCAATATTTAAATGTTTCGATGAAGGTGCACGTAACTTTGTAATAGAATTATCCACAGTATTTGAAATATCAGTAAGTGAACCATCTTGAAGCATTGGTGGTTTATCGCCAATCTTATCTGGTCTCATTGTTATGGCTGGTTGAACTGCCATTGCATTATTTTTCGGTACTACAATGTATCTTTTGCCACCCATTAAAGCGATATTTTGCGCTGGTTTCGGCATAGTACCGTCGTGACTTTGCAAAAATTCATTTTCGGTTTGAGGGAACCAAGTGCTTTCCTTTTTATCTATATTTGACGGTGATGAGTTTGCGGATGGTATTTTGATATTTTTTGAAGAATTTCTCGTTTGTGCATCCACACTATCAGATTTTGGAATTCTTTGCAATTTTGGAGGAGATGAATTAGTCTGATGTTTTGATTTTGCATTTTGTGCACCTAACATACTAATTGGGATCAATGGTGGTGGTGTCAAAGATGGATTGTTCGGCGTATGAGATTCTTTAGTATCCGGCTGACAATTCTACAACAAATTTATTCCTATGTATTATAAAGATTATCACAATTATCACAATTTCAATTTGATAATTTTTATTAACACAAGTATATTTTTATTAACACAAGTATATAGAAACCAATTAAAATCAATATATTTGTCGCAAAATATATTTTTAACTTTGGCAATTTTTAAAGTATTTTACATATCTTGACTTAATATCATAAAAAATTTTAATACCAGCAGTAATTCAAAATTTATTAATTTTTTAATATTCTATAGAAATAAATATTCTAAAGAGATAATAAACACGTGAATAAATAAATAAATAATGGATTTAATTTTTCTAAACTCTGTTTACATACTAATAAACGAACTTTTTAAATAATGCTTTATACAAAAAGATACATAGCAAGTCCTTCAAAAAGTCCTTCTAGTGTATAAATAAACCTACCTTACAGACATATTCATCACTGCCTGCAAATTCCATGCCATCAACACATTCAGGATGATATAAACAGAGACAGACTCGACATTGTAAGCTTGGTATTAATCCCATACTTGTTGAACATCTTATGCTGCATGGCTCTTGAACTTTAGGCCTGTAAGATGTGCGTTGAAGAGGGGAAAGGGATACAGGAAAAAAACACAAGATTGCCATATTAAGGATATACGAAAAGGATCAAAAGGAAAAATAGTTATAAAAATTATAGGCAAAAAAAGCTCTTCTATCTAAAGATAATAACTTGGATATATTCATATTATACTGCATGCATATATTAAAGTTTCAATTATCTTTTATAATCCATATACTTGGATATGCAATATGCAAAATCTATGGATTTGCATAAACTTGGTGTTTTATATAAAACAAAACTTAATAATGTATTTTATTTTTTACTTGCACACAAAACATGAAATGTAGAACTCTGCTAAAAAACAAATAGAAATTAAACTGTGTGATTCAATGACTAAAGTTAAGATTTCTCTAAATTTTCTTTCTCAAATACATACAAAATATTATATAAATTAAATAAATTAACACATAAAATCACATACAAAATATATATTGCACTACAATAATATTATATATGTATATATTCGATAATTAAATTGAAAAAAATTGTAAATTTTAATTTTTAATTGTTAATATATTATTAGATAATAAAACAAATATTGGAAAAAGCTCTCTTAAATTTAACAATAAAATGGAAGAACATAGGCAATAGAGAGCATATAAATAAATAAATTATCAAAGATCAAGTAAAAAATAATAATAATTTAATAAAGTAAACTATAAGTGATATAAACATGTTAAATACGATATAAATAGTTCAGAATAATAATAAAAATGTACGATACGGACGTTTCTGGCTCTTGCTTTGAGCCTTCTTCAGCGCAATAATGTAACATAAAAAATTACAAATAATAATGTGGTGTAAGACTAATAAAACATGATTAATAAAGAAATGAGTAATGATAAGTGTTATAATATCTAAAATCAATATCGCATAGACACAAAGTTAATAGTCGTTTATTAAAATAATAGATCTCCATGGCGAGAGATACAGGGAACCTTATTGTGTGAGTTAATTAGATGCAGAACAGAAACTTGACAACAGTACTAAATGCAGCCTAAAATTGGCAACATCAAATAAATCATTTATATAATATGAGGAGACTAACAATATAAATACTTACAGAGAAACTGTTCTGCGATAATGAGAAAGTTGAAAAGACAACAAGGTTCAACATGAAGATCGGTTACTGTCAAAAATGCCAAAGAGATGGCTCGTATATATACTTGAACATGACTTTCAAATTTCCGAAATGCTGCATATTAAGAGACAAAGGAATGGTTTAAATTTACAGACAGACACAGAAAATTTACCGTCTTTATATCATGACATTATAAACAAGCTTCCGAAAATTTGAAAGTCATGTTCAAGTATATATACGAGCCGTCTCTTTGGCATTTTTGACAGTGAACCGATCTTCATGTTGAACCTTGTTGTCTTTTCAACTTTCTCATTATCGCAGAACAGTTTCTCTGTAAATATTTATATTGTTAGTCTCCTCATATTATATAAATGATTTATTTGATGTTGCCAATTTTAGGCTGCATTTAGTACTGTTGTCAAGTTTCTGTTCTGCATCTAATTAACTCACACAATAAGGTTCCCTGTATCTCTCGCCATGGAGATCTATTATTTTAATAAACGACTATTAACTTTGTGTCTATGCGATATTGATTTTAGATATTATAACACTTATCATTACTCATTTCTTTATTAATCATGTTTTATTAGTCTTACACCACATTATTATTTGTAATTTTTTATGTTACATTATTGCGAAGAAGGCTCAAAGCAAGATCCAGAAACGTCCGTATCGTACATTTTTATTATTATTCTGAACTATTTATATCGTATTTAACATGTTTATATCACTTATAGTTTACTTTATTAAATTATTATTATTTTTTACTCGATCTTTGATAATTTATTTATTTATATGCTCTCTATTGCCTATGTTCTTCCATTTTATTGTTAGATAATAAAGTTTTCAATACTTATTTATATATATATATATATATATATATATATATATATATATACTAAAATATTTTTTTATATTTAATATTAATACGAACATATCAGAATGTTTTAAATATTTAAAAAATTTCTTATAATTTTTTTATTATATTTCAGAAAATTTTCTATATATTATAATATTCATAATTATTTGTATAATCCATATATTTGCATATGCAATATGCAAAATCATTTCACGTATTTAATAAAGTACATTTTTAAAAAATATATGATTTTTTTGTGTATCATCTTTCTGACTAAATGCATTGAAAATATAATAGATTACATGCTAATAATAAAAGATAAATTAAATAATTAAAATACTTACGTTAGTAGTCTTTTAGTTTTGACAGAAGTAACCTTTTCGACTATTTGCTGACTCCGTCTTGTATTTGCGGTACTTCGCTGAGGTGGAAGCATTTCACTCTCTTCAACTGGTGGTTTCATTTCTATGCAGATTTTAAGATAAATTTATGAAAATTCATTTTATAATTTGTTCGAAAAATACTTTTTATCTCATATAATAATTATATGAATTTAAAAATATGCATAAGAGAAAGGAGAATAAAAATTAACATAGATAGCAATTTATAATAGATAGAAATTTTTATATTTTCAAATTGTAATTGTAATTTGTTATATTGTCATATTGTAATATTAATGTAATGGAAATACATTAATGTAACTATAACTTCTCATGTTTGCAAAATGTTAAATTATGATAATATATATTGAACAGAATATAAAAACCAGTATAACAAATAAATAGCATAATATATGTGACAATATAATTTTAAATATAAAAACATACTTATTTGAGGAGTTTTCTTTGCAGCTGCTTTTGTCTTATATGTCGGAGAGGCTGATGCTTTTGTCGATTTGGGCGTAGCTTTTGTAGACACTGGAACAGGTGCAGGAGCGGATTTTGAAACTTCTGCAACAGGTACAGAAACAGGAACAGGAGATTCCTGTACTGGTTTCTTTGCTGTATTTTCTTGTTGTGATTTTCTTGTTGTAGGCTCTTGTACTGTTTTCTTTGCCACAGGTTCTTGTACTGGTTTTCTCGTTGGTGTGGCTTTCTTATTACTAAAAGACTTTTTTCCTGATGTGTGTCCTCCTGAGCTCTGCAACATCAATAGATACCAAGCTTTTTTTAGAAAAACTCTTCATAAAAGATCAAATTAATACATTATTTAAAAGAGCAATATTTTATAATGGTTGAAACTTAAATGTAAAATCTCTAAATAGCGTATCTAACATACTCCTATTCTTTTAGCATGTCGAACAATTTCCTTTTCAGGATCATTAATCCCAGTAGGTTCTTTGAAGAATGTAAAGTTGTCAATGGTCAACTCTTTTGAACTAACTGTAAAATAAAAATTAATTCCGTTAATTATATATTTTAATATATTCAAATATATAATTAAAGTTATCTATTGCTTTCCACTATATACTTACGAGATTCTGCAACCTCTCTAAAACTCCTGACTTTTTTACCCTTTGGTGTATAATAATATATATCAGCCATCTTTTTAAAGGAAGAATCGTTACTTGCTCTAAATACTAGCTCTCGTTTCCATCCATATTTAAATGGTTCTTTATATAACGGATTTGACATATCGACAGGAGCCTTCTGTTTTCCTCCTGAACTAGTGCCACCAGAAACGCGACTACTTTTTGATTTTTGCGACATTGCAGATGGACTACTTGCAGCTGATGATGAATTTGCTGATCTAATGGAAGTTATTTCAATTTTGTTTGGTTCCACTTCAGAATCTATGCTATTTGGTATATCAATGGAATCTGTTTCTGATTTGTCAGACTCCTTCTCCTTTTTAATTTTTCCTATACTTAAATGTTCCAAACTATCTGTGTCATAAATATAGGATTTCATATCGTCAGAATCCTGATCATCTTCTCTTTTTCCTTTAATATCAAAGCTCCTTGAATATCTAACACGTTTTATAAGTTGGGCTTCTGCCATTTCAGCTTCAGCTACGATAAAATACATAAAAAATTTGTAATTCTGACATTTTTGATATTAAAATAAGAATCATTTTGATAAGAATAATACAAATATCGCAACAATGCATATAAAATTTTTTCAACTTTTCTATAATGAAATTAGATAATCTATTACATCATAATAAAAAATATAATAGTACAATACTTTATTAAATTTATTCTATTTTTTTAATTTTGTAGCTAATATTTTATTGTATAGTTTAGCAATTATTTTCAAAATATTAAAAACAATTATTATATAATAGTAATTACTCATTTACTATATAAACCTTATTTACATTTATACACATATATATATATATTATTAAACTATTATAAAGAAGATAAATAATTGCTATACTTTATAAAAAAAAAAGTAACAATATATTACATATTTAATTTTCATTTAAATCCTTATTTATGATATTTCTCATTTACTTATTAATTTTTCAACACTAGCTTTATATGATTCTTCAATGTCAAAAGTTTCAGGAACAGTAACAAAAGATAAAAGTCTAAACAAAAAAATATTCAAATAAATCTCATTGAAAAAATGCATTATGAATTTTTCGGGGAAAATAATTCTATAAAAAAATAAAAAAATAAATAAAAATATAAAAAAAAACAGAGACATAATTATCTCTTTGTTTTGAAACCTAATAACATAATAACGAATATTACCAATGAGCTTTTTCAGAACGTGACTACCCGGCTGCAGCTCGATCCCCTTGGAGTCGAAGCCATTGAACTCTGAATCCTCGGAGCTGCCGTCGTCGAGCTCCGAAAATTTACGCTTGCGTCCCCTCGTCCCGAGCGGCTCCGGCGCGTCGCTCTCGGCGGTGCTCGTGGAGTTGGCCTTGAGCTTCTTCATCTTCCTACGCGGAAAGGGCGCGTGTTTCTTGGCCGAGCCCTTCAGGTCCCCGTTAACCTCCTGCGGATCCGCGTTACCCCCGGCGGCCGTCTTACTCGACGAGTCCTCCATTGGCACGGTAACACCGCCGTCGCCACTTTCGAGGTTAGAATCCTCGCGCGATATTTCGGCGTTCCCGCCATTCAAGTTCGCGCCGTCCATCACGGCGACTCAATCGCCGAAACGAGGCCCGGGTCCACGTCTCGTGAAAACGCCACTATTTTCGCGCCGATCGACACGATATCGTCGCGCGTCGCCCGTCGTCAATTATCGTCGTCGTTCACTACGGAGTACCGTCAAAATAGATCGCTGGCTATCGCACAAAGAGGCACCGCACAGTCCGTCTATCTCACTCCGTTGCCCCTTCCCCGCCTCTCTCACGCACGCTACAGTCCCCTTGCGTCCCCGCGCGATCCCGCGCTCATCTGGCCCGCGGATGCGCACCGGACGTGCGCAATGACCACTACGCGCTATTTACACAACCCCGCGATCGTCGCTCGGCTCGTCGCGCGACACGTTCGCATACGCGTTTCTGCATCACGCACCGCCCACGCCCGCACCCCCGCGCGCGACGACACCGTCACTCCGTCCGAGCGTCACGCCGACACACGCGGATCTCGAGGAAAAAATCGACCACGACAACCACGGAGCATCCACGGAGCGTCCGTCCGCGCGACCGAGTACCGGAAATGGCCGTGGAGATGTACGCGTGCCGCCTTTTGAGCGCCACCTTAAGCCGCACGCGCATCAACGACCCTTCCTTCGGTGACTTTTCGAACGCGATGCCTAAACAGAACGAACTCGGAAATGGCGTCTGTAACAAAGGAAATTCCGCGTATGCTTATGCTATTGTTTCCGTGCGCGTTTGCGTATAATAGAATTGTAGGAAAAAAAGAGGAAGAGCGAACTTACAGGTGCGATGCGAAGCTTGTTCTTCTTCCTCGACACGATGACGCGTATGAAATTCCTCAAGGCGGATTCTCACGAAGCTATGTGCGTCGCCCCGTCACACGCATTATGCGTAAATAAACGTATACCGTTTCTGTACATATGTACACATATATATATGTATCTACTTTTGTAGATACGACTCGCTACGGTGTGCAATTAAACATACGGTGAAGTTTGACAATTGATAGTTTTGACAGATCTGACATTCGAGACGCCGCGCGATCTTTTGTTCCCTTCATTGTCGGTCGACAGGTAGATCGACTTTAACAATGAGACATTTTTGAGGCGAGGTTCTCATGGACATTACTTGTAAGAGGTGAGCAGCAGGATGTTACGTATTGTCATACGAAAGTTAAAAGCCGACGCAATCACGATTTGTTTTGGCCCCCTCCTCGATGATTGACGATATACATATCGTAGATCCGATAGTCCTTTTCGATCTCCCTATGTGTGACTTTCTACTCGGACGTCAACGATCTGCTATCGAGGCGTTATCTCTAAAAATGGATCGTGAATTAGTCGCAACTCTGGTCTGGCAAAAATCAATGTAGAAACTTTCATATAAAAACGTGAATAACGCTCAAAAAAAATTTCCTGTACAAAGTTGGATCAATATATGTTACATTGTTGAAAAATGTGTATTTAGATTAGATATAATGAAAAATATGGAGACTAATTGTATTAATAAACTAAAAAGGAGATGAAGGAATGTTAATTTGTATATTAATACTAATACTAGTTAAATTGAATAAATAATCAATACAATTTACTTTTCAGTAAAAACCGCATCCTTCAAATGGAGCGTGTTTTCAAAGCTGTACCAGCGGATTTAAGAGTAAAAATGGAGGCCCTTGTGCACGATTTGACTTTGGCACTTGAGGAAAGCAGCAGCAGTGTAAATCTCAGACGCAGATGGGGCATCAGGAGAAGAGCTCGCTCTACGGGGAATATTCGTAAGTGTAAGGGAATAAAATTAAACAATATTAAAAATTAATTTTTTGCTCAAAAAGTATCAATGAAATATTAACATGAAAATATTACATCTTATGTACTTTAATATGAAAATAATATAGCACATCAATTACACTTGCCCAATTAACAATTTTCTATAATGTGAACTATTAAAGAAAAAAATAATCTCTCCCACTATCCCTTTGTAAAAATCAATTTTTGCAAGAAGTCAATTTTATGTAATCGTGTGATCTTTGAGGATTAAAGTAATATACAATTTACTATAAAATATAATGAGTAACTGATAAGTATACCTTGCAGCGGCTTTGAGTATGAACAAACATTCAGATGACAGCTCATCTTCTATATGTGAAATTCGCATTTCAAAAACTGCCAATGTTTCAAAATATCAATCTGACAGCGATGATACAAATCAGACCAAACGTTTCGCACATTTCTCAAACTTAAATAATGCAAGTAATATCGAGAGTGACTCGGTAAATGAAAATTTTGTACCAAGAGCAAACACAAGACGCAAAAGAAAATTTAAAAAAATGGCTATTGATTCTGACTCTAACGCATCCACTTCTCAAGCAGTGGCAATTATGTCAACTTCAACATTCAGTGGGAAAAAACGTATTTTTCGAAATGATTGTAAAAATAGATATAGCGCTATATGGTAAGAAAATAAAGTATAATTTATTCTCCATATACAATATGATAAATAAATTCATATAATATTCTCATTTCAGGTGCGGAAAACGTAAAAGATCGTGTAGGGAGCGTTCCATAGATTGCGAGATGAGAATATCTAAGCCAACTAAAAGTGCGAAACCGAAAAATCGAGGTAAAATGCAAGGCGAAGATACTGTAGATCATTCGCGTATATCTAGTTCAAGCATTTCGTCTAGTGATTCAGAAGCAGGTCTCATTACTAATGACGAAGATAGAGAAGGTATGCTGGACTTGAAGATTGGATTGCTTGGAATATAATGGACATATTGTGTAAACTATTACACAAATTGAATATCTAATCTTTTTCTGCAGGAGATGATGAACAGTCGGATTGGATCGGAGAGTCGAGTTGGCGGGATGATGGAGATAGCACCAGTGACGATAAAACCACGTCAGATCCGACTCTTCAAATGATATTGCATGGCGATCATTCGGCGATAGCTGAAGCCAAGAAGAATTATAAACAAAAATTACAACGTATTCGCGAAGTATATCTTAGCGGTAGAGAGATTCGCGCTGGGCGACGTCACGTTGATAACAAACCGGGTTATTCCATTATAACATCGGCTAATGAGAAAGTCTCACGATTCTTGCAAGATCCCACTCAGAGCGAGCTGAAACTGCATCCCATGCGACAACCCGAACGAGAAAAACTACGTCGACTTGCCAACTTATACAGTCTAAGTTTGAAAGGCGATCTAGGCTGCCCGATATTGTACAAAACACGACATACGACACAGGCTGTGTGCGTGGATCAAGTGTCATTGAACAGACTGTCAGACTATAAGAGATTGCGAAAAACGCCTCCCAATTCACCGAATTCAGATTCCACGATGCAAACCGAAGAACCGCAGACTTCCAGTACAAGCTTTGGCTTAGAGATTATACAACAAGGGCAAAATATACTAGCAGATTTACAAACATTTTCTTCGATTAAATGGGATAGCGAAAGCATGGATATCGAGATTCAACAAGGACAGTCAAAGTTTCCTGACTTTGGACATTCCAAATCAAGTTAAATTTATATATATATATATATGCGTGTGTTTTAATGTAGCAGCTACTTTTAAATTTAATTTTTTTTAATAAAAAATGTATTAAGATATGTTAAACTAAAAAGACTAAAGCATTTTATAAAGTCTGATTTTACAAAAAAAAATATATATATATTCATTGTTATACTGGTTTTTTTCAATAAAGTATATATGTACATACATACAACATATATATATATATATATATATATACACACACACACACACACATATACATACATACATACATACATATAACCACATATATTGCACATCTCTCTTATTTGTAGGTTTGTAAAAACTAGAAAAATTAATAATTATATAATGTAAAGAAATTATATAAGAATTTTTATATATTTTACAAAAAATAGCCCTTGAATTAAAAAATTTGTAAATAAATTTATAATTTTACTCAAAATCTTTATATATGATATAATGTATTAAAAATTGCGCTATAGATATGTACATTTATGTGTTAATATAATCTGGAAAAAATTATTTGTAAAGATAATTAAAAGTTTATGCCAATACTACATTTAATATTAAAATGACAAAAATTTACTTATTTAATATATACATATTAATTAATCTATTGTTCTACATTTATAATATGTACACAATATTTAATTCTTTCTAAACCACAATGTATTACAGAACATACATTTATCATGTAACTTTTTTATTTTACAAGCTTTAAAATATTAAACAAGTATTTATCTATATATTATACAAACACTCAATAAATTGACTTGAATTAACAGTATCCAGAGAAAATGAAATGTTTCTTGTAATCTTATTTTATAACAAGATGTAAGATTATGATAGGAGATCTTTCATGATAAAGTCCATTGATTTGTAATTTTATTACTAAATTTAATTTGCCTGACTTTGTCTCTTAGCAACTGCCATAGCATTTTCGTTAGCAGTTATTTGAAATTCTTGGAAACGTTGAGACACTCTTTGATTCATTTTCAAGTACTTTTCCATACAATTAAGAGCGCATTTCTCTTCTTTGGCTCTAACTTCTCGCGTCGTGAAGTCTGTTACACAATCGACAAAGCAAATTTCTGAGAGTTTATTATACGAAGTCAAAAAGTCTCGGAACTAAAACAAATAATATATCCACAATAATATATCCACAATTATATATGCTTAAATAAATTCACTTACATTATCATTATATTTAAGATATACAAATAAAGCTTGTTAGATTGTTACTGTATCTTTTGGATTGTTTATAATGTAACAAAATATATGATAAAATATCCACAATATATACACAAGTTTAGATAATACATACAGATTTTATTTGATCAGCATCCACATCAGCTGGGACTTGCATGGCCATTGTGGAAATTCAATGATTTTTATAAAATATCTTTATTGTCGATTTTTATCGTGTTTATAATTTTATAATTTCGCAAATATATACATATGTATCTCATCAACTCTGACGGAAATTTTCGAGGTTAGGGAAAAGCATGTGCAAGAGATATATGTATACATCTGTAGAATAATCTGGTAATATTAAATCATATAAGAGCTTGTTGCCTATTAGCTATCGAATAGGGATTGCCTAGGGTTTGAAAGTCTCTCGCAATATTCAGCCAATCAGGACGTCCGACAAAGCTGTGAAAGCAAATATCGCCTTTAGAAACGCCATCATGTTTCTCGCCCGAATATATCACGGGAAAAAATTGATATAAAAACGATTTTAAAATTTTCACACATTTTCATTTAAATAATGCTATATATCTAGTGTATTTTTCCATATCACGCGTATTTTACATTCCAAGATAAAATAGAAAATTCGAATTTTCTTTCGCATATTTTTTTTTTGTTTTCTGTTGGCATCCTTGAAAATACCGCGGAAGATTTGCATCAATATCTACAGTTGGCAACGCGATTGTTTGTACGTTAAATTCTAAATTGCCGCGGAGAGCCGTCACCAAGTGCTATTTGCTCGACGTTTTATTCGTATTGACGAATTAATTTCACGCAAAGTTGACGTTTCGAAAATTATATGCCTGAAAACAATCCTACCATTGCATCATCTTCCATCGTCCAGTCAAATAGATAAAAGGTACGCGAAGGTAAGAGGGACGAAATTTTGCGCGCGAACTTCAGGTTTGATCACCGGCAGTTTACAGTAATTGAAAAGTGAGCTCGAGGAGAAATTTTTTGGGCGAGAGTTAAATGAAATGCGGTGAAAGTTAAATGAACCGGGATCGATTCGTATCAGGATTCGATCGTTGGTTTTGAAAGAAACACGATGTCGACGGAGCTCGGTGGCAGGAAATAAAAGGCAGATGTTTTGTATCGACGTGGTGGATCGAAGCCTGCGTACGTCGTTTGCCTTTGTCTTCGAAACGATGAATAATGTATTATTATCGTGCCACATTACGGAGGTACGAAGTGGCGTTTTGCGCCAAATATATAATAAATATGTAAAGAATGAAAGATCTTGCGCACATGTGTGTGCATGACACTCTGTCCAAAAAATACTATATATTTCTTTTACTTTTAGGTAATATTTTAAGGGACGGTATTTTTGAAAATAATTGGCTCCATCTTTTATGGACACGAATTCGTGCGACATTAAATTGAATTTTTATTTTAAACGTGACATTCACGACAATGACAGGAAGTCGGGTATCGGAGAATCGTTTTGTCGCCCATTTCAGTTGAGTTTTGTTCCGCACGAGTATGTCCACAACGTTTTGTCTTCGTTATGGTAGCGCGAACTTAGGACAGCTGACAGCCGAGGGTTCTTGTGCGAAGGCAAACGGACACGCTGTACAAGTCTGTCAAATCTTGGAACGCGAACACGTTAAATTGCCAGTCTATTCGCTTCGTTTCACGCAGGTTACATAAACAAATTTTTCGCAAAAATTAAAAAAAAAATAAGTAATTTAATTGATTGACTTTTCGGACTTGACGAGATTGTCGTGCAATTATTATTGCTTTTATATTCATATCATTGTAGATAGATAGATTCATAACCCCTGTTGCGTATTATATTGCTGATATGGTTGTAAGAATTTATTTACATATGTATTTCTTTAAACATTACGCATGTAATGATTTATATCAATTCAACTGTAATTCGATACACTTATTATTTATTACTGTATCAATTAAACTACTTATGTATTATTTATCACTTTATCGCTCTTTATATGTTGTAATATTATAATTAATTAACGCATGTTGTATTTCAGGAAGTTAAATAATATCGTGGGAGAACCACTGCCGTCAACATGTTCTCGAGAAATGTATCTTCCGAGCGACAAGCGAATCTCGCTGTAGTCGACAGAAAAAGATCCGCATCCGCGGGAGCATCGTCGCAAAAGACGCGATCTTCGAAGAACAGAAAGCCCATAAAAACCGGCGCGACGAAACCGCGAGTTTCTTGCGAGCAGCGGCTTCTTTCGCGAAAGGAGAGTAAGAAGATACGCGACGATGCGAAACACAAGGGTCGCTTGTACAACGAGACGTGTGTCGCCAGCGCGGATAACAATGACCCGATTTACATTTTACGGAAGGAAATACAAGATTGGAGAATGTCGGGACAGTTAGCGAACGAATTTGATCGCGATCAACGCACTACCGAAGATAAAACGGAGAAGAGTTCCGTTCAAGGTAAAAAAAACAATTAATCGTTATAATTCTATCATTAATAATAGAAAATTAAAACGAATAATTGCCATATATAGTACTATTAAATCTTGACAAATATTTTCGAGTTATCTTTTCCAAAAGTAGTATCCAAGTAAATAAAAAATTGTAAAATGCGACAAATTTAAATAAGAGAATTTACAAGCTCATTAGTAAAAATTCATCAAAATGCTCAAAATTTATCTTATGCTAAATGTAAAGTGAAAAATCGTTTTTATCAATTTTAATAATTTTTAGAAAGATGCAGCCAAGTTGTCACAAAGGACCTACAAGATCCAGATGTTTTGCCCGAATTAGCGAGCACCGTCGTCGTAGATCAGTCAACGCAATCCACGTGAGTACATGTTTAAATCATCAATTGAAATTTGATACACGAGAGTTGAAAGTTTTGCGGAAATGGATGATTATTCTGGATTTTTACGTCGAAGACGCGGTTGCACGTACGTGGTTTATTAAGGATTCAAACGATTATACCTCGCAATACATCACGGGAGAAGTGACAAGATTGCGGAACTTGTTGAATAACTGGGAAACTTTGTTTTCCATTTAGAGATTATCACGTCTCTGAAAATATCCGCGTGTAATATCCTTTCTTGGATAATTCAACCGACTACTTTAGTCTACGTATTCAATTTTTTTTCACGCCGCAATAATTACGCGAGCGTACATTTTTCGAATATCGAAGCCGTGTCTGCTCGCTCGTGTAGCCGCGGGTTATCGAGCGCGACTATTTTCTCGACGTAACTTATAATAAACTCCGTTTTTTGTCGAATGCGGTCGCCCGGCGCGAATAATAACGCGCGCCAGTGATTTCTTGTCGGTGTCTCAGACAAGAACAGTGACTCTCAAGATACGATTTCACGCGAAGGTAAGTGAACAACTTCCGCTTGCGCGTGTGCGACACGCGATTACGCTATTTTTGTACGCGCCCATTCGATATGCACGAATCCGGCGCGATCGAAGTCGCGTCTCGAGCGATCGTTCGAGGGACGCGGGAGAAGAGAGGCTCGCGTCTCGTTACGTAAGTAACTGTAAATAAAGAACGAGAGAAAAGAGAAGCTCGGCCCGCGTGTCTCCGTTCGCTCTTGCGAGCCGGACACCCGCCGAGAGGCGAAGCTCGGCTACATCATCCTGGAATTTTCGAAAGTTTCGACAAACCGGTTCCCGATCGCGCGCAACTCGTTCGTGACTCGTCGACGATATCCCGCCTCGTGGAGAGATGCACACCGTGTACCGTTTCGAAGCCGATCGTTCGTCGATTCGTGTCCTTCCCGACTTGCTCGCGGATCGCCCAATCTTCCGCATTGTTCGGAATAATTCGTAATCGTTGCGGATGACGCGCACGAATAAAATCTCTCCCCTCGCGTTTATTCGCGACGGTCTGAGACATTCGAGTTTCATCTCGTGTCTGTAAAATCGAGAACCAGGTAAGATCGTATTAGATCCCTTCTCGATATAAATATCATCCAGCGCATTTATGAACGCGCATTCTTTATCGTAACGGAATTACGCATCGAGTAAAAATATCGCGGTTATTTATACGTACGTTCGCGAATCCGGTAAACACGTATGGGATCGTTGTAACGAGCGTTGCGATAACACGTGCGAGAAACGAGACGAAGCGGGCGGACGATGATAGAATTGAAATTCCGCGTCGAGCGAGAAGGAGAGAGAGGGGGAGGAGAGCGACTTTGTACTCCATGGTCGAGGACGAATTCGACAATTCCTGCGCTCGTCATTCGAGGCACGGTCCGGCGCCCGAAAATATTTTTACTACACGAAGCACGCGAGTCGCATGCGTGCCGACTCATTAAGCGTAAACTGGCTATTGTTCTCACTAACCTACAGCACTGTGCGCCTCATTATCATTTTTCGCTCGTGACGCCACTGTTAAAGGCCCGCCAGGGCACCTTCACGAAAACTAAACACGTCAGGTGCGCCACGTTTCGTGGGATTGTTCTCATCCGGTAAAAAAAAAAAAAGGTGGACGAATTAATTCCCGTCAGTCTTGTGGGAGGAGCTTAAATTGATTTATTCGTTTTTTCGGGGAAAGAGAGAGGGAGGTCCTTGAATTAATAATTTAACTAATTCGATAATCAATACGAAGCCCCTTACGACCCTCTTCAATCTAAATCAATCTAAACTGACACAGTCGATTCTTCTAAACTCCAAATTCTTTTTCTATTTATTGATTGTGAAACATCGCAGTTAATAAAATAATAAGGGACGACTCAATTATTCAATTGACGTGAAATTGAGAATGAAATTGAGAATGGTAAAGATTAAAAGATTGAAAATTTTATAGAGATTCACTTGTCAGTGAAATTGAGAAAGATTTCATATCGATCTATACTTAAATTTAATATCAAAACAATTCGAGTAATTTTATAGGATAAATTTTACATCACTTCTTCTTCAATTCATATAATTTTTGCAGGATTATGTAAATATCTTACGTTCACAAAATATATTAAATTCACGCTATTTATAGTAAAAAAATTCGATTTTCTAAATTTAATAGACATAATTCACCCTCATATATTTATGAATACTTTAAGATAAAAACGATACGAGACACACGAAATGAATCAAATTCAACAAGGTCCTATTTAAAATAGACATCGGGTGATTTCCCGAGGCGCGATCTCCTTCTCGAAGACCCTAACGTAGTCCCACGTCAGCGGTGTTAAAAAGGGTTGGAGACAGTTTCGTGTAACTTGCACGAGAGAGAGTTTTCAAGCACAGTCAGCTCATCCACGAATAATGATGTAGGTTAGGTTCCCAAGCGGTATATATCGCAAAAATCAACATTCTTCGCCAAGTCGAGGCTCGCAAAAAGCGTAAACCGGTTTGCCTCGTAAATGGCACACGAGCGTGCGAACGGGAGACGCGGACGCGGTGGATAAAGGAGCATACGCGGGAGAATAAAGGAGGATGCACGAGGCTCTCTC